CTCGACAGTGCGACACAGCGTTGTTTTCGAGATTCCCAGTTTATGGTATTACTTCCCAGCTTTACGACATACCCAGTATAAGACTTTCGGTCATTTACATCATTACCCCAATCGGCATCGGTATATGCCATTAAATCCCAATTAACACTTTTTATATAACATAAAGAGTAGTTAATTGTACCAGCTAAATACCTTAGTATACGTTTCGCCGCAATCCAATGGGATCTGTCGAAACTGTTATTGAACTGGCTCAACTGACTACAAGCAAACGTTATATCTGGTCTAGTACATACAGATAGATACATAAGTCCGCCTAACAGTTGCCTATAGTCATAGGTTTCATCCTGTATACAAGCACTTTTATCTTTTGGTACAGTTAGTTTTGAATTTAAAGCCATAGGTGTAGCAATAGGTTTACAATTTTGCATATTAAAACGTGTTAACAATTTTTTAATATACTCAGTCTGATCTAAACATAAAGTTCCTTTAGACATGTCTCTAGTGACTCTCATGCCTAAACAATTTTTCAATGGACCTAAGTTTTTAACATTAAACTCTTTCTCTAAAATAGTGACTAATTGTTTCTTTATAATACTATTTTTAGAATAAAAAACATAAAAATCGTCCACATATAAGGCAATTATTACAGATTCATTTTGTGATCTTTTTGTATAAATACATGGTTCACATAGAGACTGTTTGGAACCATTATTAACTAGTACATCATTTACCTTTTTATTCCACATTTTACTCGCTTGTTTCAAGCCATAAATACACTTTTGCAAGAGACAAACCTTATCCTTATTTTTATTATCAGAAAACCCTTCAGGTTGCTCCATATAAATAGTCTCATTAAGGTCGCTATTTAAAAATGCTGTATTCACATCAATATGATCTATATTCAAATCATATTCATTTGCAAAAGAAAATAAAATTCTCATAGATGAATGGCGAACAACAGGGGAAAAAGTTTCATTATAATCTATTCCCTGCTTTTGAGTAAAACCTTTGGCTACTAGCCTCGCCTTAAACCTATCAAATTTTCCATTTGCATCATGCTTTATCTTATACACCCACTTACATTTAATGACATTTCTGTTAGTAGGTCTATCTACCAATCTCCATACCTGATTTGAAACTAGGGAGTCATGTTCAATTTGCATTGCGGTCATCCAATCATCACGATATGGCGATACAATGGCATCTTCATATGACTTTGGTTCCTCAAATATGGTATGCTGAGTTAACATTGAATAATCATAATCTCCGTACCTTTGTGGTGGACGTCGCTCACGAACAGAGCGACCAGACAAACCCATTGCAGCATCACTGCCTGGTTGAACAGCTTCCCCTCCATGTGGCGCGTAGCTAGGTGGTGAGAGACGCTCATCACGTCCACCATCGGCACCGTCGCCCCCAGAGACGGGTTCACTCTCACTCAGTGTCTGGTTGTCATCGCCATCGACTCCATCTGAAACATTGGTTGAAACATTGTCATTTTTACTATTATCAGAACATTCCACATTAGCATTGCAATTATCAATTGACATTATATTATCATTAGAAGAATTGTCATTTAAGATAAAATAATGATTATTATTATTCAAATTATTACAATTATTAGGTCCATTATTATAATAAAACTTATTCTCTATAAAAGCCACACTACGGGACAATATCACAGTATTAGGACTAGATGGCTCGCTTAAACGATAGCCTTTAGTTACCTCACTATAGCCAACAAAGATTGCTAATTTTCCTTTAGCATCTAACTTGCGGCGTTTCTGTGATGGATTCAGACAGTATGCAATACAGCCAAATACCCGGAGATGACTGAGGTCTACCTTAGACCCCGTCCATACCTCCTCAGGCATACGTCCTGCTAAAGCAGTAGTAGAGGACCTATTTTTCAAATATATAGCAGTCATAACTGCCTCTCCCCAATAACGCCAACAGAGACCTGACTCAACTAGCATACATCTGACCTTGTCAAACAAAACCCTGTTAAGGCGTTCGCTGACCCCGTTCTGCTGTGGACAGTAAGGGACAGTACTTTGATGTACAATTCCTTCCCTTCTTAAATAATCAGAGAAATTTTTATTAATGTATTCACCACCGTTGTCGGACCTTAAAACTTTAATTGATAACCCCAACTGTTTCTCAGTATGTGCTTTAAAGGTAATAAAATGAGACATTACCTCTGATTTTTGCTTCATTAAATAACCAAATGTCTTTCTTGTGTAGTCATCTGTGAATGTAACTAGGTATCTCGCCCCTCCCCAACTTGGCTCCTGCATCGGCCCACAGACGTCGCTGTGTATAAGTTCCAGTGGTTGATTAGCTCGCGTGGCCTGGCCTTTGGGATAAGATGCGGCCGTCATCTTCCCTTCAAGACATGCTGTACAGCTTTTAAGGTCTTCATCCTGAAACATTATACCACATGCACCAACACCATCCCGTAAACACTTCATACCTTGGAGATTAAGGTGACCTAGACGTCTATGCCATAGTTCCGCTGACAAGCCTGTTGCTATTGTGGCCCTCAATGATTCCTGGCTACCTTCCAGGAACAAGGAGTGTTCCATTGGCGAGAATTTGTTAGTATTCACATATAAACATGCATTTAGTATATACAAACCATTATAACACACAGCATATGCAATTGGGTTATCAAAACCAGTGGTTTTACTCTTCCTGTCATAAATTTTACAGCCATTACTGTCAAAAATAACTTTATGGCCACTCTTAATTAACTTTGAAATGGAAATTAAATTACTAGACAACTGAGGAACAAACAAAACATTTGATAACGATAATGGTCTTACCCGCTGTTTAAATCTTAAATCAACTTGCCCTTGCCCTTCACTTTTTATTTGTTCATTATTTGCAATAGTAATAGCCTGATCATCTGGCACAAAATTGCATAAAAGTCTTTTATTATTTACCATATGGCTACTAGCGCCACTGTCAAGCACAAACACTTGTGAAGGCAAACGGGCAACGAACGCTGATGCTAGACTAATTGTCTCTATGCTAGCAGGCCTTGAACTCTTCATTTTCTTCAATTTGAAACACTGAGATTTTCTGTGATTCCTCTTCTTGCAAAATTCACAGAATAAAGGTGCTTTTTTCTTCGTTATGTAAGCAGCAGTGTCTCCCAATGAAGTCTTCCTCGAATATTCCTGAAGCAGGCGAGCTTTGACAAGTTCACTTGTTATTTGATTTGTCACTGTTGCTGTTGAGAGTCCTGATACAAGAGTGTCATATTCTGTTGGTAATCCACTAAGAAGAATTTCAGCAATCTCTGCATCTTCTATTGTTCTTCCAATGTCATGGAGTTGCTGAACTAGTGTGGTGACATTTTCAATATATGCATTCATAGAACTGTAAGCGGTGAACTCAACACGATGCAACTTCCTTAACAGCAAAACACGTCTATATAAGCCCCTGTCTTCAAATACCTCGGCGAGATTTTTCCAAGCTGCAGCAGCCGATGTCGCGTTTCGTACATATTGATATAATTCTTTCTTTACTGATAAACAGATACGCGCAAGCGCGCGCTGTTGGCGTACCACGTCGTCATCGCTTCCCTCTATGACGTCCCACAATCCTTCAAGTATTAAAATATTCTTGATGGAAAATTTCCAAGTATGAAAATTGGATGAACCTTCCAATTTTTCAAAGTTCGCCGTGTACGATGTCGCGTGACTCGAAATCAATGGCGATGAATCCATTTTAATAAGAGTGATGCTCTTAAGTTATTTAGCCTTCCAAACACAGAACGTTTTGTATTGATGTGATCTTAATTTTCTTGAATGTATTTTAACGAACAAACGGTTTATTCTTGACAGATTAGCTCACTTCAATATTGCTTAATTATTATGCTCAAAATGGCTTCTTGATATGCTGGGCCCATAACCTGTTGAGATTTTTAAGAGTTCGCTGTGGAGTGTGAGCGTAATTTATTATGAAGAAAATGAGCATAAAAACACTTTAACTTATTTATTATTATTTATTAATATTGAAGTTTATATATTTATCAATAGTTACACTGTTAACATTATGGCTGCATGACAAGGAAGAGACCAAAGAGAATCATAGACAATAGAACATTATAATATTATGCGGGATACACACATTCTAACACTCTCTAGCGATAAGGCCGCCTATTGTACTATATCTCTTTAATCTGTTTCAACTATATAATGTAAAATAATGGTGTGCAATAAAGAATATTTCATACACAATATTCATAAAAAAATAAAAAAATGTTACATTACAACATATTTAATTTGGATCTGTATATCTTGTTAAATATTTCTGGTGATACTGAGACAGTTCCAGACACAAAGGAGGTAATGTCATAGCCAAAGCCAAAGAGTATAGATATATACTGGGAAAAGAGTGCCCTCTTGAGCATTTTTTATGCAAATCAATTTGAAACGCCATCTGCATTTCCTAACCAAAACTAATGCTATATATAGGTAGCTATATAGCTACCTATATTTATTTATTTTACCATTGATTTATTAGTAGTGCTATACTAGTGTTCCAACAAAGAAGAAACCTCTCGGCTTAGTCCTTTGTTGGGACACGATATTAGTAAAAAAGCAAAGAAAGAAATAAAACAACAATAACTGCAAGAGTAATCATTTATTGAGTAATCATATCATTATTTTATTTATTACAGAATAATTTCTATTGTATAATAATTCTTATATGTAATAATTTCATCTCATTTTTTATACTTTCTTAGATTTACGCGAATATTTGACATTTTAAATAAGACTATCTTTTCGGATTTATTTTGATTTTTGGTTCCCGACTTTTTGAATGCTTTACTCTAAGATTTTAGACGTCTCAAAGATATACTTGTTACAGACCAGTGCCTATCCACAAAATTACTGAATTCAAAAATATAAAAATGGCACCAAAGTACCTTACAATATTTGTTGAATTTATTTTACGTTTTCAAAAAGAGAATTTTATTTAAAAGGTCATTTTCTATTTTTATAGTTCTTGTGCTTATTAAAATAATTTTGGGCTGCAATTTTGACCTCATCATCTTCATCTTTAACAGTTAATTTGCCGCTCAAAATACGATTGACACTTCTGCACCAACTATAAACTAAAACATTGATTGTCATATTTATAAAATATGTTTTTAATTTATTTTTATGTTCAACACACTTAAAAGGACAATCAGATAGAATGTCCAGAAACAAAACAATATTTTTCTTCAAACCTGTTTTGGGTACATTTTTTTTTAAAAAAGAAGTGGTCATATTCTGGATTTCTTTGAAATACGATTCCACTTCTTTATTAGGATAGCACAGCCATTTTTTATTCATGTACTCTTTGGCATAGATATATGAATTATTGTCATTTGATATATCATTTTCAAACAATGTTTGTTTGCAATGTTGACAACCTTTTATTATAAATTTAAGGCATCTCTTTAAAACCCATCCGCAGACATAATTGCTTTGACCAGCGTCAATTTCATTGGATTGGTCAAAGCAAATTTCACTGTTAAAATGAATAGTATCATTAGTATCAGGGATATCAGGAGTTATTATGTTCTTATCTTTAAGGAAGAAGTCCAAACTTTGAAGACACTCATTGTGATCTTCTTCACAATTTGCTCCACTTGAATGGGGCTCACTATAATTATTTATCATCAAAGCCTTGAAGGCCCCCTCAAATGAGACAGTATTTGGAGCAATGTTTCTAACACCATAACTCCTGATATTCCCGAAAAAGTTTTCTATAGGGTCTTGGTTGAAATTTCTTGTCAACATTGCATCAATGCCATATTTTCTAGACAATAACTTCCAAAGAGATTCTATACCCTCTACAGTTTTAATTAAATTTGTTATAGATGGTGCAATAGTTTCTGTCAATCGTGTTTTATCTCCAAATCTAACTTTCTTAATATATTTTGTGGTTTTTAATATTTCTTTAGCTTTTTGCCATAATTGATGATGAGGTGAATTGCGTTTAATAGGCCCTTTATAAATTTTACCATTTTCAACAGATAAACTGCTAACATTTAATGAATCAAACAGATTATCAAGTAACAAAATAAAATCTATTAATTGTCGGCATTCATTAGGAAGGTCACCTCTTGCTGTTAAATGTTCAGTCACTACAGCAACACTGTGACTAAATAACTGTGTTGCTGATTTGACCCGCATTTTATTAATTTTTTCGGGAATCACATGTGCTTCAGTTAATTTATTGAGGAGACGCAACTCTTTGTAAGACTTGTCTGCATTATACACTAATTGGAAATATTCCCACTTGATAATTTTTTCTTGGCCATCTATGGTATATATTAAATCTTTTGTGATTATATTATTTCTGATTCCTTTTATTAGATGTGGAGTATCATATAATGGAATTATATTTTGATTTTTAACACGGAACATGTCTTTATTCCAATTTTTGTTGCGCCGCAAGTATGAAGCTCTTGTTTCATTAATTAATTCAGTAATCGCTCCAACATTAACTGGGCTTTGATCGCATACTGTACTTGTAATGATAAGCCCAGTCTCAAGTGTGTGCTCAATGACACTTTTAATGATATTTTTAAGTGTTATCTTATTTAAACTATTAGTAAAGTAATATGCTACTGGCTGCTTAAAATTACTTATAACTCCCTTGACCATGAACACTAGGACGTGATCAGCAAATGCAGATTCTTTATTTGAAGCAAAACCTTCAAGTGTATCTTTCTGCGCATTATACATTATTTGTGGAGTAATTGACATTTCATCAAAGATGAGCGTGCAGAGCCGATCGCTCACCTCTTTTTCTCGTACAGTTTCTTTAATTTTTTTAAAAATTATTTTGTTTATTCCTGGAGTTAATTTAATTTGGCCAAGTAGACGTTTCATGGACTTTGATGATGGGAGAGCGAAATATTTGCACAGAAGTCTATAGCACTTTGGACTTTTTTTAAAAAGTGATGCTGACTAAACTTTCTCTTCCATAGAAAACCGTCTACCTTTGGGCTTCTTGGTGCTCTGTAGCTGCATGTGAGCAAAAAGTTGTGCCGCTTTTGTCATATTTTTTGTGACATGTCTGAAAGCCAGATTGTTGCACAGTTTTTGAGTAGCAGCAAATCTTTCCTTAAAACATTGTACTTTTTTTCGCAAACAACATATCTTATTATGCATGATTTTCATCTTATAATGAAGTGGTTTCATCTGCATGCATTGATAGTTAAGCGGCACAGCTGAAATGTATAAAATTGTTAAGTCAATAAATAGGTAGTAACAAAACTTTTGTTTTACTAGTTATTGCCAGTGCCAGTACCAGCCAGCCACAAGAAAATGTTCTCATGGGAGTAAAAGCTCTCTGGTAACTTCTGGTTTTAACTACAGATAAGAAAAATCAAGTCTATCCCAGACTGCTTGAAAGCAGGACAAAGAAAAACAAACAAACAAATCAACAAATTTTTTTTGATATAAAAAATAGAATTTTTTATTTAAGTTTGTAAAATTGTAAATTTAGATGTAGCAGGTAGCTGCAACCAAGCTTAAAAACTTTACTTCTTTATAAATTTATAATATTAGATTTCTTTTAGTAAACAAATACCAACCTTTAGACAACATATTCCTACTGGTTCTGCTTATAGCACTGTAATTGTGTTCTGACAATACAGCTGCTGTCGATGGTATGTGGTTTGGTTCACCTGAAATAATAAATATTGTTTTCTTATTTTGAAGACTTGTCAATCTTTGGGAAGTAATTGCTGGGGTTCGACCCTACGATGCAGAGAGAGATGAACAACTACATTAATTTTTAACTATGATAGTACTAAGTTGTCCACTAGTGGGTAAGCAGTTGTGACACAGTATGCCACTCTTGTGATATATAATAATGAAATACATAGCCGGGTAAAAAAAATTTTACTGAGGTAGCCTGCCTTGAGGTAGCAATGCCTTGTGAAGTGAGACCCCCACCCTGCATTCTCTTCATCCTCTGCTGTCTGCCATCTGTTGTTACTCATGTTAGTGTATATTTTATATTTAGCATAAAAGTTACTTTTAAAATACCTGTATTTGTATCATGAAGTGGAGGTATCACAGCTGGAATGGCAGGTTCAGAACCACTAATACCACTATTAGCTATTTTGGTGATTTTGCCGATGTTACCTAAAGAAATAGAAATATTTATACTATTCGACTATAAAAATTTCATTATAAATCTTTGAATCCCCAACACAGATTTTGTTTAACTCAAGATCTTATGTACAAAGGAGGACCTAACAGTCAGTCATTAAGTCAGACCTATAGTCTATATTTTCTCTATTTCATTAATTTTAAAGCAGTTAACATTTCCAACAAAGAATGGATGAAGAATAATGCAAATAATATATATTTATAACATACCTGGTAGATACAATGTTGGCATTGCTAATGCATTGAGGCGCTTATACCGATTTTTATGTGCATCAGTGAAATGTATATCACAAATCCTCTTTCTTAAGTAGATTTCATGATCTGATAATTTTCCAAACTTTCCTCCAAGAAGACTTACCCATGCATGGAAGTGCTCAGGAAATCTTTTTGGATTTGGAAACATATGCATCACCACACCTGAAAGTAATAATTTTTACTAAAATTTAATGTACTACCAGTAATTACATATTATTACATGTCTATTTCAAACATTGCTTTTAAACAAAGCTCTATATTTTAGAATAAAAAACATTTTATACATTATTTAAATCTATACATTGCTGGTTATTTTATATTTTTGTCTACTTTTTATGATTAAAAGTGCCGGCAAGCAAACACCTTTTGAGTACCGCGGGCATGCATTCGTTATGAAATGAGTATATACTTACCACTGTTGGTGTTTTTACATCCAAAAGCGCAGCGATGAGGCATCGTGTTGCTTTTTAGAACTCACACACCACAGAAAAGCGTCCTTATCGCGAAATATCACTAAACTACAAAGTATGTACGATAATTCGTCACACTGTAGCAGACACAAGAAAATTGTGTGTTTTGGTAGTAATCTTGGTATCAGGACGGAGGAGTAATCTCGACTCAACGTCTGATGAATAAGAAATGCTACAAAAACGAAAAATACACAAAAAATGGAATAATCATAAACAAGCGTAAGCGCACGTAACGACAGCCATTTTGTGTAATAGGAAATTTGAATTTTGTCGTTACCACTTACCAGTATTGCCATAATAGGAATATTAGAAATTGCTTGTAAAAATATTAAAATTGCCACTTGGAACAAGTATTGATAGTTTTTATTTTTATTTTATAAAATATTTTTATATATAAAATAATAATCTTAAGTCTTTAATTATCTATTTAATTAATATGGTATTAATTACAATTAGTACAGGATTGAATATTATTTAAGCGACATCTATTGGCAAGTAAATAAGACACTGAGCATTTTTACCAGTTAGGAAAAGTAGATGGCGCAACTTTCTTTAGAAAAATTTGCAATGACTTGAGTGTCCCCCCCCTGGCCAAAGCACAGGAACCGGCAAAATCATTCACTCTTAATGATGGTTTTTTTTGCTTAAAAAGAACCACAGGTTTCTTTTCTTTACTATCATCACTGAATTGTTCTACTGCCAATATATCTGGATATATACTTAAGGTTTTTGTAAAAACTATGAGCTCCTTGCCTGGAAACCATATATAAAATTTATGATGAAGACACAATTATTTAGTAATATTTACTCATCTATACTTATTATAAAAATAAGTCCCCCGGCCGCGTCTTTCTGTCCTCCTGTCTGTCCTCCTGTCTGTCTGTACGCGATAAACTCGAAAACTACTGAACGGATTTTTATACGGTTTTCAACAATAGAAAGAGTAATTCTTGAGGAAGGTTTAGGTATATAATTTATTATGCTTTTATGTAAATTAGCTGAAATACGGCGACAAATGTTGAAGAGGTCGCAAAAAATCTCGCCAAATGGGAACTTTCCACGCGAACGCCGCGTAAACTAGCAAAGATACAGTTAAGTAATGTACTAGAGAATTCAAAATCTATAAAAATGCTACAAAAAAGTCCGCGATAGCATATCTCTATCTCTTACGGTTGACTTACAATAACCACTTTTATGTTAACATTTTTAATTAAAAACATTACGTTATTTTCAAAGTTATTTTCTTTAGTTCGGTATTAATCCTTATCCAAATGAATATTTTAGTTAGCTTAGTCATTTAATGCAGATTAAAATTGCTCTTTACACTAAATCAATCAGATGAATAGTTTTTGAGATATCGTTGTTAGAAGTAATTAGTAGCGAAACATTTTTAATGCTTGGCGAGCATTGAGATGCCTACGGCGAGTCCATCCCCTCTGCCCCGCATCGCTCGACCGCCTGCTCAAGCTATATAAACCGGGCGATGTAGCGCACGATCCTAGCAGAGATGCGCAAACTAGGTCCTGGAGTGGATTGAACATGGAATAGTTCCTTTCCATAAAGGAACTATGTTCACGAAACATGTTCGCGGAACTATCTAGTTCCGATAGTTCATCCGATCCGATCGTTCCGATTTTAACAGGTTATCACTGTCATCGGTTCCCGAGGACAGCTTAACGGGAGATATAGTTTTAATTGACCGACTTAAAAAAAAGGAGGTTATCAATTCGACACGTATATGTATATAATATTATTAGAACTGCAAGATATTATCATAATATGATATATTGGGGCTTCGAAGCAAATATACAAAATTTTATAGGTGTATAGATGTATATATGTATGTATGTATGGTTGTTTGCTTGTGTGTATGTATGTTTGTCCACGCATTTCGCTGAAACTACTGTTCCGACCGACGTGATGATGCTTTTTTATTTGCTTACAATTATTTTAACTTAGGGAATAGTAAGAATTTCATCAAAATTGGTTTAGTGGTTTTGAAGATATGGATAAAAAAGTGTATTTTTTGTAATTACTACTTTTTACAAAAACTATTTCAGTTTTTAATTAAAACTAAAAATTACGAAATAAAAAAGGTTTTAAATTCAAGAATCTATTATGGTGCATTCGCGCGCAATGTGAATCTAGACGAACGCAACAAAGTACAAAAATATTGTGTCAAAAGTGAATAAAGAATATTAAAATTTAAAAATATATTATTAATGTTTTAAAAGCTAAAAACGAAAATCAGATTTAATCAATGAATTATCGACTTTAACGCACAGTGAAGTAGGCACATTATTAATTGTAATAGCATAGTAAGAGATGACATTATATTGCGAATACTCGCTCACGCACTAGTCACTACAGTAGTTTACTCATAGTACCTACGCGATATAATGGTGCTTCCACACAGCAGTGCAGCATATAACATCACATACCTAACATTTTTTAACATGAAATAATTTTAAACCCACGAAAAAAAGGAGAAGGTTCTCAATTCGACACGTATAAATATATTTTTTTATTGTTTGACCTCTTCTTACTTTGGTACTAGGTATCTACTATATCTACACTAAAAATGGAAAATAAAAACTTAAAAAAAACTACTTCAAATAAATAAAAATATTGTAAATGATTGTTTAACTTATGAATTATTTTATTATATACATTGATTTTAATTTTTAATTATTTATTGTTACTATTTTTATTAATTATAAATTCTAATTCATATTAGGTACTGAAAAATTAAGAAAAAAGTTTAAATTAATAAACATTCTTTATATACATAATAATTAATATAACATTAGATCTAATACTATTATTATAATATTATAACTGAATATGAAAGGATTTTATTAATAATTAATAAATACTTACTTTCTTAAATTGTTTTAATTGCAATTTTAGTAAGCGCAAGAAATGAAAGACTTTTTTATTTTAATTTAATTTATTTATTTAATGTATTTAGTTTGTGTTCGGTGTTTGGCACGTGTTTATGATTCTCGGTGCTTGTGGCAAGCGCCCAGCATGTGGACGCGGCTTAACAGATGTTTACTAAAAAAAATAACGCTTGTGAGGAAGCACCTTAAAATTTAATATATAGCTATAGCTCGGGTAGGTTCGGCAGGAGTCGGTTACGTTCAGTTCAGTCAGTCGCTCCGGTGATCGGTCCAATATATTCGTTTCTCGCTCCATCTCACTCCTGCACATGTGGAACTATATGGAACTGTGAACCTGTTTCAATTGACATCGCGGATTGGAACGATATCGTTCCGGCCTAGGACATAGTTCCGGGAACTATTTCAATCCGGACCTACGCATGTCTAGATCCTAGGATACTTTTTACCGCGGGAAAATATCTTATTTCTGAGGAAAAATACAAAAACTGCAATGTAAGAGTATACTAATATGTAACACCTAAGAATTTAGTTTTTGGTCATCTGAACGCGGGCGGAGCCGCGGGCAATGCTAGTGTATAATAAAAAGAAGTCCTTACCAATATTACACATAGTACTTGGAAGGTCCGAAAAACATGTTATCAATTCCAACCTTCGATCTACATCTGGTCTAAACCTATACAGATGACGGGAATAACCCTGTATACAATAAATATAGTCTTTGTATGATCTTATACAAGTCATCGTTTTCTCAGTTCCCACAATATTACTCCAATAACCTGAAGTACCCCAGGCTTTATAACGAAATATTTGTTTTTCCCCAGCGACATATACCATGTTCTTATGTGAACAAACTGCTGGGTTACAAATTGCTTCGGGCAATTCATCTATTTCTCTATAAGCTCTTTGCTTTAAGTCATAAATTATGGCTGTTTCTAGCTCCCTGCTGTAAAATAATGAAAGTAAAAGAGTAATATCATATATTTTTTACCTTTATAAAAAATATTTACATAAATGTAAAAATTATTATAAAAACTTTACTTTAAAAAAATTAAATTCAATTGAACAAGTTCGGACAGAAAAATCAAAGATCAAAATTTATGGAGTAATTATTTAAAAAAGCTAATCGAGCATGTTGCTCTGAATTTATTATATGTTAAAAAATTTGTACAAAAATCATGTGTTATGTGCAAGGTACTGACGTAAACTCCCCTTTTCCTCCAAGAATATAGAGTGAGTCACCAACGACAGCTAAACCAGCATGGCTTCTTGGGGGTAAATCTACGCCATGTCTTGTCCATTCTTGCTTCAATGTATCATATACTTTAACATCCTTCATATATATACCCGTACGGTTATTTGCCTTGCCTGCCACATGTTCACCACATACAATTACTAATTTTGTCAATCCCCAAGAAATAACACTCCAACCCCATAAGTCTTTTTCAGATACTTCCAACCATTGCTCAAATCCTTTTTCATTATTATATGTGTACATGTAATGTGGTAACAGTTCTCGTTTAGAATTCTTTAGGACCCACATTGGCACTACTGGAGTGTAACTCAAAAGACGAGTTTTACTTTCTTTTATTATATTTATTGTTTCTATCCAAACTCGCTCCGTAAACTTTTCATAAAATTCAGATTTTTTATCATTTAAAACTGCTTCACATATCTCTAAGTTGTTATTTGATAATTCATAAAGACAATCTGCTACTTTAAGGGCTAAACTGTTTTCATATTCACTTGTACATTTTTTAATTTCTTCTATATCATGTTTTGATATCCTTTTGAAATCTAAGCATCCAAGAATAATTAATAGTGCATCAGCACCAGTTTCATTGTGTAAAATCCATTGAAGACCAAAATTGAAAACATCTAATTCACTTTGAGTGTCTAAATATGGATGTGATAAATACCATGCCAATTTATGTATTGTTGAAATATATTCTGGCTTCATAGATTTAAATGAATATAGTCCAAATGCAGCAGACAGTTGCTCAAGTTTAGAATATGAAGAAGTTTCAGCTATAGCCATTGTCTCCATCCAATTAGACTCACACATTTGTATTTCTAATGTATACTCAATCTGTTTGATTAATTCAATCATTTGAAGAAAATTTGCTGCTACTGCTATATCGCCAATAGTTGCCAGAGAATACTCAGATAGGTCAATTAAGCCTATATTCATATATTGTAGAACAATACTCATTGTGTTGGGATCTAGCATCTGAAATTAACAAACAACCTCTTTATAACAAAATATTTATAAGTTTAACTTTTTACGTTAAGTTATAGCACTTTAGAAAGAGAAAGTGAGACATGACCATCACTTGGAAGGCATATTGATACTTATTATATTTTTAAAACTCTTAATTTAATTCTTAAAAAATTAACCTCACATCAATAGAAATTTGGTTTTGTTGATCTTCCACGTAATTACCGCTGAACATTGCTCGAAAATAATCACTATATTCACATAAAATTTCTTTGTTAACTTGAAAATTTTTATCACGAATTTGCAATGATATATCCCCCATCTTTACTGAATTTCAATACTTTTACAATGAGATTTTTTTGAAATATTTTTATTTAGTGTTAACCAATAACCATACAGAACCACGCGCTTTATGACATGCAACACCCGTTGAACATTATATGACATGATTCATGAACGAATTAGCCACGTTCATGACCTATGACCTAGCCCATAGTAGGTATACTGCTACATATTATATAAACATAATGACCTAGCCCGCGCGTCTATTTTCCCCGGTTCCCCATACAAATTGTATTCTATGCATACAACCATTAGGTACATAAAAAAACACTCGTGATTCAAATTATATAGTACCAATTTATAATGATATACATTATATTGCTGTTTTGGGTTTTCAAATAACATGAGCATGTATGAAAATTGACAATATATAAAATACACTTTAAACTAATACTTTCTTAGATTTACGCGAATGTTTGACATTATTAAATAAAACTATCTTTTCGGATTATTTCGCGGATTTATTTTGATTTTTGGTTCCCGACGTTTTGAATGCTTTACAGCATCCATGGTCACGGGAGAGACTGAGGTGTTACATGTCTTGAATGTATAGTTGTTACAGACAGCCTACCCACAATTAACAAAAAGAAAAATGCACCAATTACATTACAATATTTTTAACTTTAAAACATTTTTATAATTTTAATTATAATTGAATATGGAAAATGATTTATTTATTTTTGCTATTATTTTTATAATTATTACAATTTTAAAATATTAAATAAAACTATCTTTTCGGATTTTGTCGCGGATTTATTTGTATTTTTGTTTCCCGACGTTTCGAATGCTTTACAGCATCCATGGTCACGGGAGAGACTGAGGTGTTACACAGTCAGGACCGCCCAAGCCATTATATTCGCTTCGATAGGCCTCAAATCCTGGCGAAAGAAAACCGATATCGCCCTAGAATGATTCGAGAGGCCATAGAAATTAAAAAACATCCTAATTTCAATAGGGAAGATGGCTGGGTACTACCATCGTCATGGGATCCTGTTATTAATATAATAAAATCTAATAATAAATCTAAACATAACAGACAGGTAGATGTAGTAAGTTCTTACTGTGTAGATCAAAAAGATAGCATTTCTGATTAATAATATTTTTTCACTTTTTCATTTGTAAATGTATGTAGTAATGTGTTGCTTAATAATTTGTTTTTAAATAATAGCAAATTTAAATTAAAATTATTATTTTTTAATTAATCTTAACTTTTTCAAATTACACATAGATCAATTGTGGCTTAAATAATTAATACTATACTAGCATTGCCCGCGGCTCCGCCCGCGTTCAGATGACCAAAAACTAAATTCTTAGGTGTTACATATTAGTATACTCTTACATTGCAGTTTTTGTATTTTTCCTCAGAAATAAGATATTTTCCCGCGGTAAAAAGTATCCTAGGATCGCGCGCTACATCGCCCGGTTTATATAGCTTGAGCAGGCGGTCGAGCGATGCGGGGCAGAGGGGATGGACTCGCCGTAGGCATCTCAATGCTCGCCAAGCATTAAAAATGTTTCGCTACTAATTACTTCTAACAACGATATCTCAAAAACTATTCATCTGATTGATTTAGTGTAAAGAGCAATTTTAATCTGCATTAAATGACTAAGCTAACTAAAATATTCATTTGGATAAGGATTAATACCGAACTAAAGAAAATAACTTTGAAAATAACGTAATGTTTTTAATTAAAAATGTTAACATAAAAGTGGTTATTGTAAGTCAACCGTAAGAGATAGAGATATGCTATCGCGGACTTTTTTGTAGCATTTTTATAGATTTTGAATTCTCTAGTACATTACTTAACTGTATCTTTGCTAGTTTACGCGGCGTTCGCGTGGAAAGTTCCCATTTGGCGAGATTTTTTGCGACCTCTTCAACATTTGTCGCCGTATTTCAGCTAATTTACATAAAAGCATAATAAATTATATACCTAAACCTTCCTCAAGAATTACTCTTTCTATTGTTGAAAACCGTATAAAAATCCGTTCAGTAGTTTTCGAGTTTATCGCGTACAGACAGACAGGAGGACAGACAGGAGGACAGAAAGACGCGGCCGGGGGACTTATTTTTATAATAAGTATAGATTTTATATTTTTCTTATGGTTATAAATATAATAATGGCAACACTAAATATAGATTGCTAATTAATATATTTTTAAAATTGTAATAATTATAAAAATAATAGCAAAAATTAAATAAATAATTTTCCATATTCAATTATAATTAAAATTATAAAAAAATATTTAAAGTTAAAATATTGTAATGTAATTGGTGCAATTTTCATTTTGTTAATTGTGGGTAGGCTGTCTGTAACAACTATATCTTTAAGACATGTAACACCTCAGTCTCTCCCGTGACCATGGATGCTGTAAAGCATTCGAAACGTCGGGAAACAAAAATACAAATAAATCCGCGACAAAATCCGAAAAGATAGTTTTATTTAAAATGTCAAATATTCGCGTTAATCTAAGAAAGTATTATTTAAAATATTAATTAGTAATCTATATTTAGCGTTGCCATTATTATATTTATAACCATAAAGAAAAATATAAAATATAGTATTAATTATTTAAGCCATATAATTGTTTTATGTGTAATTTAAAAAAGTTAAAATTAATTAAGGATAATAATTTTAATTTAGTTTGCTATTATTTAAAAACAACTTACTAAGCAACACTATTAATATATACTTTTACAAATGAAAAATGAAAAATATTAATCTGATAAGCTGTCATTTTGATCTACACAGTATGAACTTACTACATCTGCCTGTCTGTTTTGTTTATATTTATTATTTGATTTTATTATATTAATAACAGGATCCCATGACGATGGTAGTACCCAGCCATCTTCCCTATTGAAATTTGGATGTTTTTTAATTTCTATGGCTTCTCGAATCATTCTAGGGCGATATCGGTTTTCTTTCGCCAGGATTTGAGGTCTATCGAAACGAATATAATGGCTTGGGCGGTCCTGGCTATGTTTGCAGACAGCACATGTTGTATTGCGACGGTGCTTCACATCAGCTATGTGTTCTTTGACCCGGGTTCTAATGGATCGCTTTGTTTGTCCAATGTAAGGGAGCCCACAATCACAATCAAGCTTGTAAACTCCTTCATCTTGTAGAGGGATGTGGCACTTGAACAGGTGGTAAGAACTGACTAATTTTCTTTGGCGGCTTGAAGTAGGTTTTAATTGAAGCTCGCTTTAGAATGTAGCCAATCTTGTCAGTGACTCCTTTCATGTATGGCAAGACTGCAGGGACGCGCTCGACTGTGGCTGGTTTCACTCGGTCACTGTGACGCAGGCGCGGCACTTGCAGCTTGTTGTCACGCAGAACTTGCTTGACATGTTGCAGTTCTCCGGCCAGGTGTTGCTCGTCACAGATCCCGCGCGCTCTCTGAAACAAAGATTTTCCCACGGTAGCTAACTGTGAAGGATGGTGGTGAGATTCACCATTCAGGTACCTATCAGTATGGGTCTTCTTTCTATACACAGTATGACTCAAGGTGTTATCTGGGTTACGTTTAACTAATACATCTAGGAAAGCTAAGGTATTGTCCGATTCTAATTCCATTGTGAATTGTATTTTAGGATTTATAGAATTAAGGTGTTCTAAGAATACAGTTATTTTATCAGATGGTAATATTGTGAAAGTGTCATCTACATACCGCTTGTGGAAACGAGGGGTCACGGGTGATGTGTTCAGAGCAGTCTCCTCGAAGTCCTCCATGAAGATGTCGGCTACGACGGGGGAGACTGGCGAACCCATGGCCACTCCATCCACTTGCCTATAGAATTCACCATTCCACAGTAGATAGCCGGATGTTAGGCAGTGTTTTAAAAGTTCAATGTATTCTATTGACATGTTGTGATCTAGTAGCTTCCTAGATATTATTTCAATACAGTCTTCCACTGGTAGGCTGGTAAATAAGGACTGTACATCGAAACTAACCATTGTTTCATTTTCCATGAGTTTTAGCTGTTGTTTAACTTTATTGACAAAATGGTAAGAGTCCTTTGTGAACGCTCTTGTTAATCCTCTGAGTGGTGAGAGTACTTTTGCTACTAGTTTAGCCAATTTGTAAGTCGGTGAGTCGATCTGACTCACAATTGGACGTAGCGGAGCGTTAGTCTTGTGTATTTTCGGAAGTCCATACAACTTAGGTGGTTTTGCACATGATGGAATAAGATTTTTAACATCAAGATTTAATGTGTCGGAGTGTTCCTTAATTAGCTTTTTAGTGTTATTTAAAACGGTGTTAGTTGGATTCGTTTTGGCTAAACTAGTAGCAAAAGTACTCTCACCACTCAGAGGATTAACAAGAGCGTTCACAAAGGACTCTTACCATTTTGTCAATGAAGTTAAACAACAGCTAAAACTCATGGAAAATGAAACAATGGTTAGTTTCGATGTACAGTCCTTATTTACCAGCCTACCAGTGGAAGACTGTATTGAAATAATATCTAGGAAGCTACTAGATCACAACATGTCAATAGAATACATTGAACTTTTAAAACACTGCCTAACATCCGGCTATCTACTGTGGAATGGTGAATTCTATAGGCAAGTGGATGGAGTGGCCATGGGTTCGCCAGTCTCCCCCGTCGTAGCCGACATCTTCATGGAGGACTTCGAGGAGACTGCTCTGAACACATCACCCGTGACCCCTCGTTTCCACAAGCGGTATGTAGATGACACTTTCACAATATTACCATCTGATAAAATAACTGTATTCTTAGAACACCTTAATTCTATAAATCCTAAAATACAATTCACAATGGAATTAGAATCGGACAATACCTTAGCTTTCCTAGATGTATTAGTTAAACGTAACCCAGATAACACCTTGAGTCATACTGTGTATAGAAAGAAGACCCATACTGATAGGTACCTGAATGGTGAATCTCACCACCATCCTTCACAGTTAGCTACCGTGGGAAAATCTTTGTTTCAGAGAGCGCGCGGGATCTGTGACGAGCAACACCTGGCCGGAGAACTGCAACATGTCAAGCAAGTTCTGCGTGACAACAAGCTGCAAGTGCCGCGCCTGCGTCACAGTGACCGAGTGAAACCAGCCACAGTCGAGCGCGTCCCTGCAGTCTTGCCATACATGAAAGGAGTCACTGACAAGATTGGCTACATTCTAAAGCGAGCTTCAATTAAAACCTACTTCAAGCCGCCAAAGAAAATTAGTCAGTTCTTACCACCTGTCAAGTGCCACATCCCTCTACAAGATGAAGGAGTTTACAAGCTTGATTGTGATTGTGGGCTCCCTTACATTGGACAAACAAAGCGATCCATTAGAACCCGGGTCAAAGAACACATAGCTGATGTGAAGCACCGTCGCAATACAACATGTGCTGTCTGCAAACATAGCCAGGACCGCCCAAGCCATTATATTCGTTTCGATAGACCTCAAATCCTGGCGAAAGAAAACCGATATCGCCCTAGAATGATTCGAGAAGCCATAGAAATTAAAAAACATCCAAATTTCAATAGGGAAGATGGCTGGGTACTACCATCGTCATGGGATCCTGTTATTAATATAATAAAATCAAATAATAAATATAAACAAAACAGACAGGCAGATGTAGTAAGTTCATACTGTGTAGATCAAAATGACAGCTTATCAGATTAATATTTTTCATTTTTCATTTGTAAAAGTATATATTAATAGTGTTGCTTAGTAAGTTGTTTTTAAATAATAGCAAACTAAATTAAAATTATTATCCTTAATTAATTTTAACTTTTTTAAATTACACATAAAACAATTATATGGCTTAAATAATTAATACTATATTTTATATTTTTCTTTATGGTTATAAATATAATAATGGCAACGCTAAATATAGATTACTAATTAATATTTTAAAATTGTAATAATTATAAAAATAATAGCAAAAATTAAATAAATCATTTTCCATATTCAATTATAATTAAAATTATATAAATGTTTTAAAGTTAAAAATATTGTAATGTAATTGGTGCATTTTTCTTTTTGTTAATTGTGGGTAGGCTGTCTGTAACAACTATACATTCAAGACATGTAACACCTCAGTCTCTCCCGTGACCATGGATGCTGTAAAGTATTCAAAACGTCGGGAACCAAAAATCAAAATAAATCCGCGAAATAATCCGAAAAGATAGTTTTATTTAATAATACACTTTAAACTATTGATGAATCATAAATAATCTGAGAATATATCAGTGTTAGTAGTAAAACGCACTATAGTTGTTGTATTATAATTTATAATGATTTCTGACAAAACTACGATAAATATATTTACACTAAATTTAAAACACTATTTTATGAATAAACATGTAATCGCACAAAACCATTTCTTGATTTATTTATATTAGTTGTTTTAAGTACAATATAATTCAATTTATAGCATTCGCGGTGAGCCGAATGAGTTCGTTGTATTTGCGCAGCTCGAGACAATGTCTTATAATAGTTTTATTTTCAACCTAAATAACCTAATAATAAACCATTTTGAAAGTGTCCGGGTTCGAATCCCGGTCGGATACAAAGGTATAATTTATTTTTGTTTTTTTTTAGTATTTATTCAAGGTTTTTTGTTTTTTTTCAAAAGAAAACTGAACTTTTGACCAAAAACTCGAAGCGAAGCTCGGTGGCCCAGGTATTTTTAGCAAACGTCATTTTATTCGTGTTTTCAATAATCATTAATCAACATTATCGATAATAAACTAAAACATAAACTTATTTTTTTTTATTGGAAAAAAATACTAAAACGGTGGCGTTTGGGTAGTCCTAATCTTGCCACTTAAACATAAACTAAAAAAATGACTCTTGCTGACATCTATTGGCGAATAATAATACTATTATGTGTCTCCAAAAACACACAGCATTGAGATGAAGAAAGCAGCTCTGTGATCTGTCAAAACTATCGAGAATACAGATTAAAACATACATGAATCCAATAAAGTTTGATAATTAGGTTACCAGAGGGTGCAGGCATCTGCGCAGGCATCTAATCTTGCCGCCTTTTCCGCTGTCAAGTGTCATAGCGTTTTGTGATTTGAAAAGGTTTACATCGCAAAGTTAGAAAGTCCATGTAAATGAAGTTTTAGGTGAATTTTATGTGTAAAAAGGAGATTGGTAAGCATTGTTAATATTTTTAAAACATGGAACCTATGCGTTACGACGACGTGAAGGTCGGTCGGAAGTCAGTTGCTCTGGAGGGAGAACACGTCTCGGCCTTGACCTCTGCAGCTTCAGGGACCGGCTCCTTCTCTTTCTCGGAGGTTGAGGAGGGCCTGGCTTTACCCATGCATAATAAACGTCGTAGAACGCATAAGTGAAATTTAGATACTATGGTAGGTATATACCTACTTTAATCTCAGATGTGCTATACATATATTAAATATTTAACACAATTACTAGCTTATATGTATTTGTATACATAAGATAGGGTAGTAGTGCTAATTCTGAGAAATTTATTATTAATTCTAATCAACTGTCAACAAATGAATTACCAGAAACATTAATATTAATTCTTGATAGTTTAGTACTGAATTTGCCATCAAAAGCTTTGTTCAACCTATTGATAGATAATGTTTTTCGTAATTGAATAAACTACAGTGGCTTTTTTCCCTAGCTTGAAAGCCTATTAAAGATAAAAAACTAGGGCAGAATAGTCTAGGTTTTACTGGGTTTATAGGTTTAAAAGTTGATAATGAGTTAGGGTCATTTCAATAAATAAAAAATTATTTAGCTTCTACAGAACTCTTAATAGCTGGGCTATCTACTAGGGAGCAGAGATTTATTAAGATTTTACAATCAATACTTGATTGGACTGTAGTCAATCCAAAAGATTTTAATTTAAATTCTTTATATGAGAAATTTTCAAGAGCCTGACTCAGGTTCTGTAAAGCATATAAATGTAGAAATAACTTTGCAAATAATATGTGACAAGAGTTCAGAATTTTTTGAAATTAAGCCTTACCTTAGGACAACTTTACAGCCCCCCCAACGTGCGTTCACCTTGTCGTGGTGGGGGGGCTCAGTAGTGCCCGGCAATCCAACCGGGCGCGAAGCTAAGAAACGCACAGGGAGGTTGCCCACTTCGGTGGGCGGTGGGAGGTGGCCCTCTTCGGGGGGCGGTGTACCATGCGGGTTGCTCCTGGTACTTCTCTGATAGCAGAGTGGACTGTGGAGCAACCCCATGGTTGTGGTGGTCTGCTTCGGCAGACCTGCCGTCGGGGCGTCGTAGTTGAATGCGTAAGCGATCCTGCGACGCCCCATTAAGACGGGGGAAGGTTTTGTTGGGTTTTAGTGGGTAGTACTGGCTGTATTACGCCGGTGAGTCCCACACGTCGTGCGTAAATGCATTTCCCAACGTTAAAAAAAAAAGGACAACTTTACAGAATGTTCTTCGTAGTTAAGAGTATTTATTTACTGTAGAAGCCCTAGGGCCAATTATAGTTCTTGGATATTCTAGGGTTTTATTTGAGGAATAGAAGGGTAATAAATCATACAAAACATACTGATTTATCTTTTATTTAAAAATATAGAAAAAGGATGAAGCTCAAAAGACCTAAAAAGAGTTGTAGACATACTGTTAAGAGGGATCAGCCCCTTTGTCAATGTGAGTCCAATAGCAGAGTTCCAGCTCCAAAAATAATGAGGCATTAAACTCAACAGAACTTCAGAGGGTGGTGCCTAAGCTTTGTTTACAGACAAATGGAGTCGAAAAGGCGCTAATCAGTTTGTTTTAAATTTTATAGCCAATTGCCCTTACCCATCAGAATGAAACCACCTTTGAAGTTCCCATCCAAGCCGAATTAGTACATGAGCTACCCGAGTTATTCAGACGTAACTTGAAAAATTTAAGAACAACTCAAAATAGGTATTGAGTGAGGACAACAGATAGTGAATTATGTCCCCTTTTCGACCTCAGAGACTTAAAATACTCGCATAGTAATAAAGCGTTTTATTTGATATCTTAGGAAGATATAATAAACTTACTTTAGATAAGATAGAATAGGCTTTCTTTCAGGACAATAATTGGATGGTGAAAATAATAATTCACCAGGCCTATATTCATTTATGTATGAAAAAAGGAACACAGACGGTTCCTCCGTGTTAGTTAACAACCTTATCATTTAGTCTGTCTTCAGCGGTATCGAACTGGGTTGCGGAAACCTTGCGAAACCGACGTACTTTGGCAGCGGTATCGTTCTGGGTTGCGGAAACCTTACGAAACCGAGATGTTCGTTGGCTATAGATGGACGATTACCTGTTGTATGCCAGGTCAAATTTAAGTGAGTTGCGCATGTTGCGGAAACGCTCGCAACTTTAGAGTCTCTGGGTTGGCCCGTAATTACGAAAAATCGGTTTCAGTGCTTACACACGAGTTACGATAGTTCAGCCTAGTTTGGAATACCCTACATTTAAAGTTAGCCCGGCCAACTCAGAACGTCCTCGAATAAAAAGAACTTTGTTAAAGTTGTTAGAAGGAGATAACTACTCTCTAGGGGATCTTGAAGTTTGCTACTCATGTTAGACTATGCCAACCATGCAGTTCTTCAAGGTCAGCTACACTGTTTCAGGGTATATCTTTTCCTAAAGAAGTTCACCCAGAGAGGTTGGAAAAAGAAATTATGCCCTACAGGAGCTAAAGTGGTGGTTGGATGCAACAGGCTGCAGTCCAACTCCACAAAAAGGAAGTAACGTACTTCTTGACCACAGACGCAGCGGATGCGGGCTGGGCACTTAGCACTTAGACAACCTAAGGAGTAGACAGGCTCCAAATCAAATACCTTGGCACTCCAATCTAGAGGAGGTGTATGCACTGTTTGCTGTGATCAAGTCACAGGTGTCTTTTTTAAGGAATGCGCACATACTGGAGCAGTCCGATAATCAGACCCTAGTCGCCTATAGTCGGAATCAGGGGGGACTCGGTCTATGAACCTGTCTGATAAAGGTATGAACCTTCTGGTAGAGGTATGTTGGGTTAAAACTTAAAAGTAACGAATTCTATCAATATAACAATCTCTGCTTTTTACCTCCCAGGAAAGTTAAACGGTATCGTAGATCGCTTATCAAGGGGAAAGCAAGTACCCGAATGGCATCTGGTCCCGCCAGCCACGGAGGCTATTTTTGAAGTGTGGGGGATACTAGACATAGACCTGTTCGCGTTCAGCGAGACCACCGTCGTAGAGGCCTATATATCGCTTGACTCAAATGAGAGTTCTGGCCAAGCCCATTTTCGTAAAGAACCTGCGGAAGATTCTTGTTGATAAGATGACAGTAACAAGCCCACCACAAGTAGACAAGTTAATTTTCAGGCTTAAAAAATTGGGGGTGGGCAGCCCAAATAATGGAGTGGAGTGAGAATAAAAAGCAACTATTTCAATGGAGTTGGTGTCGAGCTACATTGAATTCTTCCAGTACTCCATTACAAAAATGGTTATTGGTTATTATGGTTATTAAGGTCAATAGTTAAAGTCCAGAAATGAAGGATGTAGCCAGATTGATAGTTAAGCTTTATGTAAAGAATAAGTTAGCATACAGAATGATTTTATAACATAAATTAGCCATGTCTACTTATTGTTCAGCCACAATTGAGAATCTACCAAAAAGCTTATTAATTCATCAGGTTTTAAAAGAAATTTAATTTTCTAAACCACAAGAACCTAAACTGCCCATATGGGATGTTAATATGTATTAAACTGGTTGAATTCAACATCATGTTCTGATTCATTGTTTCATAAGGGTAGAGAGACGGCCTTAATATTGTTACTAGCTTCAGGCTGTAGGTGGCATGATCTAACTCTTCTGGGACTTTCTAATGATAGAGTTAATTAAGGAGGCAAAAATTCCATAACATTTTGACCAGGGTTTGGTTCTAAGACTGGCTCAGTAACTCAGACAATCTGGTTGGCTCCTTACATCCCTGCTCGCAGATGGCCTCGGAGGTCAGATGCAAGATGGGAAAGGATTTGCAATGTCTTTTTATCACAGTTATAGGACAAGTGAAGTCGGCAGAACCTGTCACTTCCGGGTGGCTGCATTCAGTGTTTAGGCAGGCCAAAATAGATGAGTCCTCAGGAAACATCAAGTCTACTGTAACATCGCCGAGATGGCTAACATTAGACAAATAGAGGAGATTCTAGAGCTAGAGAGATGTTTAGAAACAATTAAGAAATTTTACTCAGATAAGTAAATAAATCCTTCACTTCTAACAGTGATTGTACTGATTTATTTTATAATAATTTTAAGACTGCTTAATATTATAGTCAGTGGCGGCCTTAGGGGGTGGCAAGCAGGGCAACCGCCCGGGGCCTCGCGCTTGTAGGGGCCTCGCGCCTTCGCATAACAACCCAAGTGTTGATACACTTGGGTTTCAGTTGATTCTGATGAATCTCCTGCCTTAGGCCGGACATTACAAAACCGACATCCCGCCAGTACAAGCATGTAGCGTTTAAGTCAATAAGCTATTAATATTAAATTTTACGTTATTATAGTAATTATAGTAAAGAATGAATTAGTAAAAAGACTGCGTACAACTGCTTGTATTTTTTTCATTAATTTTATGTGCAAAAAATATTTTCTAACTAAGTTCGCGCGATTGTGATGCCAGTAGAAAAATTGAGTTAGGTAGTTCAAAAAGGCAACAAGCTATCAAAAGAAAGCAGGTAGAAGAAAATCTGTATGGGTCTCTATATAAATATATAAAAGGTGATGGTCAAGAAGCTTCTAAGTCCTTAAGACCTTTCAGTGACTAAAAGTGACATGTTTTTGCATTCTAAGCCTAAAGCAGCTGAAATATTTTTATCGACATCATCTGGGATGCCGTTACTACCTAGCGATGATAATAGTAAGTAAACAACATCATTGTTACTCCACCGCCGCCGCCGTCGTCAACACTATCCAGCCAGAAATACGTATCTACGAGTAAATCTATGTCTACATCCATGAGTGGCGGAATTGAATATCTTATAGTCAATACGTAAAATGACCCAGGTTTATGACCATCAATAATTACTGATGCAAACCGAACTGAGATTTCATTGAAAGGTCCAATTCGCGCTAAGACAGATTTTTTCCCGTAAATGATAGTGGACGGCGATTCAGTGAATAGGTATCATTACAATTAAAATATTAGCTTATGGTGAAAAATTGGACAAGCACTGGATGATTTATTCACAAACAAAACTTGCCATTTACTTCTTCTGTCGATTGTTCAGAATAGAATATAAAGAATTGGGTCCAGTGCAGAACTTTGCAATTGGAAACACTTGGGTAAATATTTAAAGTTTCACGACTTCGGCTGCACAAAGATTGTATGTTAAAACGGTTAAATTTAGAGAACGGATTGTGAACGGATTATTAAATTTAGAGAACGGATTAAAAAGCTGTACAACTATTAATTCTTTAGCCCAGAGGCTTTCCTTCATTGGCCGCCCAAAGTGAAGCGCAAGAGCCAAATCCTTGAGAGGGTAGAAGTGCTCATTCTGTAAAATAACGGGGAAACCCACGAGCACTTGTTATGGTGAAACCGGTGCACACTTCTCGATAACCGTAGCCAACCACACTGATGTTGTGCCCGGGGCACTATGCTATTAGTGGGAGGCGAGTCACCGTCTTCCAAATATTGAATATGAAACTGTTGAGAAGGCGGACATTCGATAGTCTCATCCAATAGCCCAGTTTTTAGCCCATCCAAATTCCATTCCATAGACTCTTTTAGTTTTCCATATTTTCCATAGTCCCTACGCATTGTCCAGAACCATATTTAAGCAATTCCTTATGGGTTACTCAGAGATGGATGCCGGTTGATGCGTCATATTTAACACTTAAATCTCTTAAGTGGTCTCTACGTGTTGGACCTGTGTTGCCCACACAAGCCTTCCAAACAACCGAGCTCCTTCGAGCTCGTGAATTCTAAAGAGCAGTGCCGGATTCAACCTTAGTGCCACCCCTGGACACTAAAAAAAATGCCGCCCTGTTATCGCAGCTTTGCATAAAATGAATAGTTTTGATAATATTTTTTTTAAATGCAAAAATAATAATTTATAAGTGATATTATTATTCGAAAAATATATACTATAACTAATATATATTATACTACTTAGTCTTTTTTAATTATTCATTTTTTGGAAACTAAAAAAAGCATTTTCGATAACGTGAAGACATTTTTTCCTACCCTCCAAATTTTGCTGCCCCTAAAAATTTGCCGCCCTGAGCACTAGCCCGGAATGCCCCTAGTGTGAATCTAGCGCTGCTAAAAAGATACTAATAATGCCACTATCTCTGAAAAATTATTCAAAATGAGCTAATAGAATTAATGGCAAGTCACGCAAAACCTAAAAATGTTGACAAAATAATTTTGTCTTTTTTGTGCTTGCTAACTTCTATAAATTTCTAATATACAATTTTAAATTTATTTATTTATAAATTTTACATTTCTCGCCAAGCATCATCATTAAAAATATTTTCAATTCACGTAAATTTCATAAAAAACAAGGGCCTCGCAAAGATCTCCTGCCCGGGGCCTCGCAATGGCTAAGGCCGCCCCTGATTATAGAGTAATAATTGATTTCAATTTTTGGTTTTGGTTTATAATTAAAAATTGAATTATTTATGTGTTATTACACAGGGTGTAAGTAATTATTATATTTTAAGAGAAATTTATGAATAGGGTTATCTTAAATATTAATTTGAATTATTTTGATGGACCTATTAGATTTGAATTTTATGGAACTAGGTGTAAAAGTGGTGCAAGGTGCACTTAAAGTGTTTAAGTTTGTTTATCATGTTGTTTTAATAAGTAATTTCCTAAGTTAAATTAGTGATATTTTGACTACATGAAAGAAGTTACATAAAATATATAAACAATTAAAGAGGTCCTTAGCTGATTGTTTATTCATTCACATAGCGTTTTGTGCATATAATTCTGGTCACCAGCAGATATCAAACAGGTCTTCATCTCAATGCTGTGTGTTTTTGGAGACACATAATATGACTGTTTTGCATTACAACAAAACAGGTATTATGTGTAGGAGAAAACACACAGCATTGATTCAAGGTGCTTGCTGGCGATGAAGACGCTATGACACTTGACAGCGGAAAAGGCGGCAAGTAGATGCCTGCGCAGATGCCTGCACCCTCTGGTAACCTAATTATCAAACTTTATTGGATTCAGGTATGTTTTAATCTGTATTCTCGATAGTTTTGACAGATCACAGAGCTGCTTTCTTCATCTCAATGCTGTGTTTTTTCTCCTACACATAATACCTGTTTTGTTGTAATGCAAAACAGTCATATTTTTTTTAATTGTAATCTAAATCTCGGAAACGGCTCCAATGATTTTCATGCAATTTAGGATACAGGGGTTTCGGGGGCGATAAATCGATCTAAATTAGTTTTATGTCTGAGAAAACGCGTGTTTTCGAGTTTTCATGCAGTTTTCTTTTGCTATTCCACGAAAAATATGGTCGGTAATTTGCACACTCGGGAATAAGCATCGTGGTCAACAAGATGCACGATCAACAATCACAGGTGTTCAGGTTTAAGTCTCGGTCGCATACAAAATTTACACTTTTGTTTTTTTTTTATATGTATTCAAGTTTTTAGTTTAAAAAAAAACGCAAGAATGACAATCATAGGTGTCCGGGTTTGAATCCCGGTCGGATAAAAAGGTATAATTTATTTTTGTTTTTTTTTGTATTCATTCAAGTTTTTAGTTCTTTTTTTAAAGAAAATTGTACTTTTTAATCTAAAACTCCGAGCGAAGCTCGGTAGCCCAAGTACTAAATATATGTACAAGAATTGCTCGTTTAAATATATTAGATTTACCGAGACGGATTTTTTACGCCGCGCGATATGATATCTAGACTACTAGAATTTTACATGACTAGCAATGCCCGCGGCTTCGCCCGCGTTCGGATGACCGAAAACCAAATTCTTAGGTTTTACATATTAGTATACTCTTACATTGCGGTCATTGTATTTTTTCTCCGAAACGAGACATTTTCCTGCGGTAAAAAGTATTCTATAATATACTCCTGTGTATCCTATAATATATCCTATAATAGACCCGGATAACCAGCTATCACCATACCAAGTTTCATCAAAATCACTCCAGTGGTTTTTTTGTGATGCGGTAACAGACAGACAAGACAAAAATTCTAAAAACTATAGATTCGGCCTTTGTATCGATAATAATGTTTATTTCAATAAGTTATTCCAAAAAATATTTTATGTACACATTCGGTTTAGTTACAATATTAATATAGGTCTGATGTTCTCCTAGCTGATTCCGGCAACGGCGGCCAATCTCATTGAGATTAGCCAACTGCGCAGGAGATATTATAGTGCTCAAGTGTATGCGCAGACACAAGTGCACTCTCTATTCCTGTTACTCTCATACTCCGGTGGGACGACCACTCGACACGACCAGTGAGAGTTGAGGGGCAGGACCGACGGCTTTACGTGCTCTCCGAGGCACGGGGATGAAACACCGCCAACTTCCCAACTCCGGGCTGTTACTGAGGCTTACTATACAGAAAAACTCAATAACTAAACTTGGCCCGACCCGGGACTCGAACCCAGGACCTCCGGGTGTGCAGCCGTACATGCTAGCCACTACACCACTGAGGCAGTTAGAATTTTTTTAATATAGGTATTTATAGATTATAAACCTAAATCTTATACGGATGTCAATGATGAGCGTCTGTCGACCTTAGAGTATACTTATGCTAGCACATGTATACTCTAAGACAGCTATACTCAACCCGCGGCCCGCGGGCCGCATGCGGCCCGCCGGTCCTTTGTTATTGGCCCATCGGAAGTTACAAATTTTTTGTAAACAAACCATTTCAATTTTCGCGCTCATCAGAGAACGGGTGTTTCAGAACGATAAAGTGAGCCGAATTGTAACGTAGTCTATTATTAGTAATCTGTGGTTGCATGAGCGAGACGGAATGTACGGCGGGAATCCCCTTGCCGTCCACAAACTTTGTTTGCCGGTCGTAACTTGTTTTGAATTTGTTTAAAGTTAATCTCACCCAGTAATTGCAGTTAATTGAGGTTTTTAGTATCAAATTATTATTTTATTTTTTAAATATAAAAGAAAAATATCTGATCTGTGAAAATAGATTGTTTCAAGATGAGTGGGAAACAGATTATTTTGTTGTGCCAAAAAAAACCATGCAGCAACTTATTTAATATGTCGTGAAAGTATAATATTGAAGAAATACAATATTTCGCGTCATTTTACCACAAAACATAAATCTTTCGTCGAAACGTTTTCTCCTGGTTCATCCTTGAGAAATGAATAATTGATTTTTTTTAAGAAGTCATTGCATCAACAACAAAATGTTATGTCTGTGGCTTTATCACAAGACTCCGCGGTAACCAAGGCATCATATGAAATTTGTTATATTCTTGGTAAGCATATGAAACCATTTACCGATGCAGAAATTGTAAAGGAATGCTTTTTTAGTGTGTTTTTTTGATGAATACAGTAACAAAAAGCAAATACTATCTGATATAAAAAAAACTACAGCTCTCGATTTCACCTGTATGAGACGTATTGAAGACATTTCTAGACTTATTCGCGATGGTATATTAAAGGATTATATAATTTTTGCTTGCGGCCCTCGACACCACGACTGAGACGTGTTTGTGGCCCCTATAAAAAAAGGTTGAGTATCACTGCTCTAAGCTGTCGACTGTCTAATGTTGAAATTGAAAATTACTATACGAATTTGTTTAAGGTTGGATAATTAATGTGACTAATGACTATCGGTCAACGTTATTCCACGTTTATGAAATTTTATAAAATATATCTCTTCTTTATTAAAATATTAGTATATTTTATTCCCTTTTTTATCTAATTTGAATAAAATACTGCATCCGATAGTTTTATTATTTATACGTATCCGTTTTATGAACGATTCTCTAAAGTCTAAACTTCAAACCATAGAGTATATTGCTACATATACTTCAAACTTCAAATAAAAAAAATTGAAGGGAGGGAAATTTGACAGTTGTTGGCTGTTGCATTTTTCTAAATGTTTTTTAGAACAAAGATTTGATACAAAAAGCTAAGCAATATTTAATTTAAGAAATATATATATTGTGTAATAATTATTTTATGATTTGATAATTTGAACTGAAATGACTGCTACTGCATCGGCAACGACTGCTACTATTGACGAAGATCTAGATGAATGTGGACCTCAGCTGATTAGTAAATTAGAAGTGAGTTCATTGTTTGATTTTTAATGTTATTAAACTGTTTTGTTTTATTTACAATTGCCTTATATTTACAATATTAGGGTAATGGAATTACGTCTGGTGATATTAAAAAATTAGAAGAAGCAGGATACCATACTGTAGAATCTGTAGCATATGCTCCAAAAAAATGGTTGATAACAATTAAAGGCATTTCTGAAGCCAAAGCTGATAAAATTCTTTCAGAAGCTTCAAAACTTGTACCTATGGGATTTACTACTGCTACAGAATTTCACCAAAAAAGGTTTGTGGAACTAGATTGTAGTTAATAACAAGTTTGAAATTATTCTTAAAGATATTACGGAAAAAGAAATAACTTACAACTTATCAAAAAATACATCAAATATGGATATTATATTTATATTGTTTTATTAAACAATTTGTGTTGCTTACACCTCTTCCAATTTCATTATTATTTCAAATATTTATTTTATTATAGAGCTGAGATAATCCAGCTTACAACTGGTTCAAAAGAATTAGACAGACTGCTTGGTGGGGGCATAGAGACAGGTTCAATTACTGAGATTTTTGGTGAATTTCGCACAGGGAAAACACAATTGTGTCACACCCTTGCAGTGACATGTCAGGTATTAAAAGATAAATTTATATGTAATTTAATATTCTATAATTAGTGACATAAAGTTAAAAAAGTAATGTTTTCTTCCCGTAATGTGTTCAGTTACCAATAGAGCAATCAGGTGGTGAAGGCAAATGTATGTATATAGACACAGAAGGCACTTTCCGTCCAGAGCGATTATTGGCTGTTGCGCAGAGATATGGCATGGAGGGAGCAGCGGTATTAGACAATGTAGCTTATGCTAGAGCTTATAATACAGATCATCAAACACAATTGCTAGTACAAGCATGTGCCATGATGGCTGAATCTCGGTAAGGTATAATTTTCTAAATATGTACTACTATAATATTTTGATGAAAATAGTATTTTATAAGTTTTCAACAAAAGAAATCTTTAAATGAAAATAAATATGAATGTTGACATTATTTAAGTCATTAATTTTGTATTTTTTTTTATTTTTGTAAGTAATTATATTTTTAAAAAGGAAACAAAATAATAATAATGAATATAATTAATAATATCAGGATCTTGTTATTTATTTATGCTGCATATCCATAGGAGTGTATTATGACTACTGGTATGTATAATCTATACTAATAATATAAAGAGGTAAAGTTTGAGTTAGTGACATTGTAGGGGATAATCTCTTGATCTACTGAATCGATTTAAATGTAAGAAGATAGTTTGAGACCCTGGGAAGGACATAGACTTTTATCCCGGAAATCATCCCTTAAGGGGGTGAAAATGGGGATGAAAGTTTGTATGGGATTCAACCTAAGGATAGACCCAAGCGAAGCAAGTGTGAGTCGCTAGTAAATAATAAAATGTTGGGACATTAACACAGCACCATCTAGTTCCATGGTAAGCTACGAGGCTTGTGTTATGGATACCAAATAATTGATACACTACACATATCATTTTAAATACATATATATTATAAATATGATCTGGACTGGAGTACAATACCCCATGACTGGAGTACAAAAATTCGTGCTCATCACACAAAAGAATGCCCCCTACGGGACTCGAACCCACGACGACTGGCACAGCAAGTAGGGTCACTACAAACTGAGCCAAACCTGTCGTCAAATGTATTACTTGAAATGTAATTGCTTTATTTTATATATCTCTATGAAAAGAATATTTTTGTTTTAGGAATTATATTTTAGTATTTAAATTATTAATAATATATTGAAGTATTTTTGTGTTATTTCTAGATATTCCTTATTAATAGTTGACAGTGCAACAGCATTATACAGAACAGACTACTCTGGTAGAGGTGAACTGAACTCAAGACAACTACATCTCGGAAGATTTATGAGAATGTTATTGAGGCTAGCTGATGAGGTATATATATATAGAAGTGTTTGTTTATATGTTTTTTAAATGTATTATTTAATAATTTTACACACAGAAAACATTAGTGTGTTATAATTAATGGATTAGATTCCAATTTAAATATTGAATTAATTTCAGAGTAGTCTTAAACCAGCCAGTAATTAACATTTTAATCAAATATATAACCAAAAATAATATAATATGTTGTATATAAATCCAAATTTTATTTAATTATGAAATAAAGGTCTTTTATTCCAGCCATGTATTTCAGATTTTATATCTACACAAATTTAAAATAAATTGCAATATATAATAGTTTATAAATAATATACCTATAGTATAGTATAAGTCATTTAATAATATTTAAATAATAATTCCCAGTTTGGCGTAGCAGTAATAATAACAAATCAAGTGGTCGCGCAAGTGGATGCAGTGGGTGTGTTTAATGCTGATACAAAAAAGCCTATCGGTGGGCATATAATGGCGCATGCGTCCACCACTCGTCTTTACTTGCGGAAAGGCCGGGGAGATAACCGTGTGTGCAAGATATATGACAGTCCCTGTCTGCCGGAGACAGAAGCCATGTTTGCTATCAGCACTGAAGGTATCACCGATGCTAAGGAATAGACGGGTTTATGCTGGTGTCTCTTTGCAGCTTTCAATGTTTATGTCGCAGGCCGATTGTCAAATTTGCTGTTTTACAAAACCGCTAGTTTTTTTACATAAGGGCTTCGTTACGTAAACAACTGAAATACGTTTCGACGTTTTTTGTTTTGTTCGATATTATAGATAATGGTACGGGACCCTTAGTCGCACTTGGCCGGTTTTTTTATTGCTAGTGCTGGTACTGTCAGCTTCGATTTCGTAGTAGTTTCTTATTAGAAAATTGTCATCAGATTTTCCATCAGTATTAATATTATATTTAATATACTATTAAAAAGACATTCATGAAATCGTATTTTTATGGTTTCTATTCATAATCAAACACGATGGAATATTGATATAGTTAAATTACATGTAAAAAAAAGTGTGTGTGTACTTATGTACGCACGTGAGTAGTTATACTTCTTTGGCATAACAGAACAAAAATAGCTAATGATTTCATCCCGTACATCACAACTATCTATTTGTAAAAGGAATGCAGCTAACTTCATCATGTCGCTTTTTGGCTGTCGGTATGCGCGCGCATGGTAAATTTTTTTCTCTACAAGTATAAGTTCAAAAACAATATAATATGTCTACGCTAGCAGCGACCCTATACAGTAGTTAAAACGCACGTCCATCAACTTGGAAAATCAAAAAATGTTCAGAAAATTTTTGAACTAGTAGTATTTTAAATTTGCTTTCATATATTTTCATAAGATTGTTGACCATTTTTAAATGCTCTATAATAAAAAACCTAATTAATTACTTGTATGGATAAAAGTTGAAATCGAAGCTGCAAATATCGCTAGGAATAAATATGTGACAATAATACATACATAGATCCTTTCTTATAAAATCAATGAATATAAACAAAAATTAAAGACTAGAAAACTTCAACACTACATAATTATTAAAATATATTTTTTTAAATAAATGTAAAATATTTTTAAGCTAATATAATATAATTCGTATATTTCAATAAAACAATGAAGTATTTTCCTTTTTTTATTTACATACCTGGGGCATTTCATATGAAGCGGACAGGAAAAAAAAGTGATGTTAGGAAATTTGTTCATTTGCGGGTTATTTATACCTCTAGTACGTATGAAAGTGGATACGTAATATTTTTTTTCTACGATGTTTATTTTTAAAATTATGGGCCTTTGAAAAATAATCATAATCCAAATGTCGATGTTTTAGATTTAGTTTATCGAATGGGGAAAAAATACACACAACTATTAAACTTGGCGTTTTGTATAAGTTTTTAGTTGCTCTTTAATAAAGAAATATTTTTTTTTTATTTAAAAAAAAATTATGTACAAAACCGGAAGTGAAAATTTCAAAACAATTTTTTGATCACTTCGACCATTGTTTTTTTAATTTTTTTTACACCCAAATATAGCCTATAGTATTATTAAAAAACACTAAAAGCTTCATAGTGGAGATTCTATTAAAAAGATGGGTAAATTAATGTACATGTATGTCGCTCTGAGCATGATGCTTCATACTAATTTATGTCAGTTACTTGGCGAAATTTGAAGTGTAATCACATGTATCATTGTATTCAAGCGAGTTTAGTCTCTGAAAACTTAGGGTTTATTAATTGCTATTTTTTACAAGCTTGTATTAATAGTCAATGCCTGGTCCAACGTTCCTTAAACAGCTAACTTTGATCTTAACAGTCAAAGCTTTCGAATAAAACAAACCGCACTCGGATGCACGCGTTTGAGCAATACGAAGCCATACTACAGACAGACTTTGATTCTAGAAATGTTATTTAGGGTTACGGTTCCAAACTTTAAATGAACAAAAATAATAAAACTTAACCACAATAACCGAAAAATGATTACAGTGTGACCAAATTTTTAGGTTTTTCTTAAATGCCCATAATTTTCAAACTGCATGGGATAGACTTTTTTTCTGATTTTTTCATGATGGTTACAATCAATCCTGTCGCCCCGTTTCGGTTTGACGTTGAGTTCTGGGACACCCTGTATATATATTAATTTATTTGCTTCTAACAATAAGGCATAGCTGAGGCAGATACACATACACAGCTATTCAAAAATATTATCATTCACTATTTGCTTTTTACCCGAGTATGCCCCTGTGTCATTGACCTTGGAATAATACATAGAAATGGGAACGGTCGAATAGGTAGGTATGTAGGTTAATCCATAAAACTGATAAAAAAAGTAGTTAGGTTTTTCATAATTAAGCAGGTTTAAAATAAAAGAATTACACGTAATAATAAGTATCAACTTATTACTAGCATTGCCAGCGGCTCCGCCCGCGTTCAGATGACCAAAAACCAAATGAAATAGCGCTATTGTAATTTTTTTTCAAGATAAGCTATTTTTAATAGTGATTGCCTTATTTAGTACGTTATCTTGCTGAAATATATATAGTATCTCTCTCTATATATAGAATCTTACCTTACTACTATATAAATGAGAAAGTTTTGATGGATGGATGTTTGTTAATCTTTCACACCAGAACAGTTGGAACGGATCTGGATGAATTTGGCACCGACATAGATTAAAGTTACTTTTTATGCCGAGAAAATGTATGGTTCCCATGGAATACTATTTTGTTTCTATGTTTTACTACCAGTTTATAGTATGATTTTTTTTCTATAAAGGATCTTTATTTCGAAAATAATAGAATTTGAAATTAAACAATTCATGTCATAAGTAATAAAAGGTATGATATATTAAAATGGTCTTAAAAATAAAACAATAGTTGAGGCAAAATATTTTATTCAAATATCAACCAATTAAGCACATTCAACACTAAAACAACCCATTTTATGTGTAGATAAATAAATAAAATTCACGTTAAGACCTTACAACGTAACACTTGCAATAGCTATGTTCACAGAAATGTTTTTTATGTACTTCAAAGCATATACTAGCATTAAATCTAGCTTTCGATCTTATGTTAAATAAATATAAAGGCTATTTTGCTATGAAATATTTTTTTCAAACTGCATACCAACATTGAAGTAATCATAGCTACTTTATAAAAATTGTGATTCCACATACATTCTTACAAATAACATTCAACAAATCACCAATGCCCGTAATAAATTTAATTATTTTCGATTGATTTTTAAAACAAACGTTAAATAAAATAGGAAACTCATTAAATTTCACTTAGTGACTATTCGTCCGATCTACGGATCTACGGGAATGTATCTCGTAGCTGGCACGTGGAGCGATTGAATTTAAATCAAGCTTTCAGATCCACGAGAAAACTTCCGGTACTTATATAACGGTATAAATGTTTTCCCGTGGATCTGAAAGCTTGAACTTAACTTAAAAGACACACTACTACCTATAATCATATACGCCAGCAAAATATTACCATATATTATGATTATTTTTTAGGGTATATACTTAATTAATAATATTTTAGAATAATTTAATAGAAAATTATAATAATCTTTTAATCGCTCCACAGGACAGCTACGGGAAAGCTTCCCGTAGATCGGGCGAAGTCATTTCATAAAATTTAACAGCATAATCAATTATAAATATATATTTTTTAATTACAATAAGTAGACAAGTATACAATGCGCAAAAAACTAGCTCGCTTGTATATAGAGAAATCGTCATAAAAATTATTTATTTATCTAATTACTCCATTTAAGCACTGTTAATTAAGTATAGTTATTATATGAACCATAAGATATTTTTTACCATAGCATTACCATTAACGAAATGATAGCATTTTTTTCCATTAACGAAACGTATCTTTACATTTAAAGAAAAAATTATTGAAATGTAAAATAATAAAGGCCCATTCTTAAAAACAATGTCAAGTCAAAGTAAAAATCATACAAAAATGTCACCATTTCCATAAAAAAAGAGAAAAGTATTTACATAACTAAATTTGTGAATTTCATAATTTAATTTAAAAAAAATAATGGTAACACACAAAATGAGAAATTAGTATCTATTTTCGCTATATATAGTAAAATATATTTTTTCTTAAAATCTTACAGGCATACTAATTTAGCTTTAAAATTTATTGCTTTCTTTCCATTGTACTCTAACCTATGCAATATGGAAGCCTCCTATAGATAAATTCGTTTGTTTTAATAAAATAATTGTCATTAATAATTATAATTGACTATGTTTCGTGTAGATACTATTATTTTATCTGCAATATAAATATATATTATTTAGAAAACAAATTTATTATTTTTGACTAGTGTTTATAGTGATTTTTGTTTATATATTTATTCTAGAGATGAGCCGACTATAAGTTTTGCCGACTGGTCGGTTGGGAAAAGGCCGACTAGTCGGTACCTGCCTTTAGGTTATATTGCTTTTGATAATGAATACATTGTGTTTACAACTGTGATTCAAAAATAAATAATAAAGAGGAGATTACATAATTATATTCTTTGTTAAGAGTTGTAGAAACTTGCGTTCAAAATTTATTTTTTTGTTAATCTTAGTCATATAAGTACTAAGTCTTCTATTCCTTCCTTCGTTCCTATTCCTAAATTATGTAACCAATTGTAATACTTGACACTAAAATATAAATAATAATAATGACGGAATTTCATTTCAACCACTTTATTTTAAGAATAGTAATACGAATAAAGTTATGGTACGACTAGTCGGTGCTTTTTGTCGACTAGTCGCCGAATATAAATGTGGTAGGATAGTCGGCTTTCCCGACTAATCAGTCACTAGTCGGAACATCTCTAATTTATTCACCTATAGGAGACTTTAATGTAACACAAATAAATATTCCCTAAGTAAAAATAAATTATTATGAATTATATGAGGCACTATCATTAATACCTACGTATTTATATTATGTATTAGAAACGCTACATATACTCGAAGCTATAGAAAGCATAGTTAATAAATATACTACAATGTTACATTTCACCTTATCTGATTCTTTATTTATTTAAAAGATCATAATTTTGAATTAATCAAAGTTTTTAAAGAAAAAGTCAAACAAAAATAATTTAGCTAGAAAAAGGCGTTAAGAAAAAGGAACTAAAGGGGTAAATCACTAATAAATATCAGATTAAAGAATAATATAGTCCGGACTTTGTCAAAAATAGTAGCATGATCTGCTGTTTATCCTACTATTCTTGATTTTGCTATACAGATTTTCTTTAAAGAATAATGGAAAATTTATATAGGTATGTTAGTTAATAAATAATAAGTTGATAAAATTTTTTTGGATGAATATTTATTAACATTCATTTACTTATCAATCAGTATACAAATTGTCATTAGTATATTATTTAAAAATATATTGTTTGGCGTCATATTTAGTTCTATGACACTCTGTCTAAATCATTCCTTAGTCTGAGTAATAAGGATAGGATGAGTTTATTAAAGGTATTTAATATTTAAAAAAAAGTACATATTGAACAGTCCATATACTAAAAATATTTATATATTTCTTCTCAATATTAGCGTTTTTTAACATAATTGGTACATCTCAATGTCATTTGGAGGCAATTTATAAATCTACATATTTATATCAAAATTGACTATTTCTCTTTTCAACAAAGATTATTAATTTAAAGAGATAGTATCTTATGGAAATATATGCATTAATCCAGGGCTGTCCAAAGCAAGGCCCGCGGGTTGTATGTGGCCCCCGAATAATATTTGTGCGGCCCGCGACTTGTTTCCAATTTACATCGATCAGAAAAGTACTAGATACACAATCAGCGACAAAAAATATCCTCACCGAATGAGCGCTCATTTGAACATTTGAGCGCGCTCTTAATATTATTTTTGTGAAAAAAACTTTAATCATTTAAGATTCAATTTACATTGTTGTATATTTATTTCATCTAGAATAAATACCTAAACACAATTAATTACTGACAGTTTTAAGTGAACTTTCTCATGGGATTGTGTGTGATCTAATACTTTTTTTATCGTTGCCAATTTATCACAATAACGCAAACACTCCTATCTTCACAGACAGACAAGACACACCGCGTCTGACAACAACTAATATTAATGTCGTTATTGATAGAATTGAAAAATAAGAATGAATGAAGAATTAATTACACTAAATTAAACATGATCGCCATATTTATATTTTTCTTCCAAAAATTCAATTAGCGTAGTCATTTGTATCTATCGACCCCCCAATTTGTGTAGTGATTTATATTGGCCCGCAATTTTATTTGGTCTGGACAACCTTGCACTAATGCATGAAAATATTTTCTACTCAAATGCGATACATTTTGCAAGGATCTTGTTTTAAATTACACATAACATGTGTGTGTGTATTCACAGTTATTTGTCAGCTATATTTTATTTCTATTATAAATATGTCGTTTAGCACTTCTTAAAACCGTCACCAACTCTAATTTGAAAGTTAATCAAAATATTTGTATATAAAACAAAAACTGAGCTATCACAAAACACCATTGCTTGGTCTATATAAAGGTGCAGACAAAGAACGAGGAATGTCCTAATGAATACATTGTAAGAAAAAAGCTTTTTAAAGTTTAGAAGTTATAATATTTTTTTTGAGATCAAAGTAATCCTCTTTCTTTACCGGTATGTCATGGACATTAAATAAATGAATAAATAAATATGTTGGGACACTAACACACAGTAACATCTGGTTCCATGGTAAGCTACGAGGTTTGTGTTATGGATACAAGATAATTGTTACAGTACACATATACAATTTTAAATGCATAAATATTATAAATACAAACACCCATGAGAGAAAGACCCATGGAGTACAAACATTTGTGCTCATCACACAAATGAATGCAGGAGCAGCAGGATTAGAACCCGCGACCGCTGGCACAGCGAGTGGGGTCACTACAAATTGATCCAAACGTGTCGTCATTCTCAGTTTTTTTCACTTTAGGCATAGATAAAAACGTAATCTTAGCGATATCTGTTCAGTATTTGTAAAAACAGTGAATGGAAATCAAATTACCATAGACAAATTAGCACAGATAGCACAGATCACATAATACTATACTACTACATACTAATAGTACAGATAACATAACACTATACTAATAGTACAGATGCCTCATCCCATAAAAAAAAATTGGACAGAGCTAATTCGGGCTATTTTTGTTTGCTTGAATAGATAATAGATGTCGTTGATTCGCAAAGAGTTAAACTGTTTTATTTTATAAATATGTGCAAACTAACGAATGGTAAATATCGTAAAATTCATTCCGCATTCGAATAAAAAAAACTGTGATTTTAACCGTGATAAAAATTCATAAAAAGTAAGAGCGCCATCTGTGAATATACACTACTAATACATCATCAGATGGCTGATTTTTCAATAGCCAAAAAGTAAAATTACGCAAATTTGATTTGCGGGCGCTTTATTTCTTTTCCATTCACTTAAAATATTTTTTAAAACAATAACATACTTTTTTAGGGATCTATTTTTTATCTTTTGATAATCTAACACAACTTTATTAACAAATTGAGTCATGAGACCCCATGCCAGTACAAAGCAAAATAAAAAATTGTGACATTACTATTCTTTGCTTGAAGCCTTCATATAATAATAATTTAACCGTTACTAGTGGTGAAAGCCAAACCAATTGATATTTCATTCATAGTTGATATTTGAGAGGTTATTAATATTATTTTACGAGTAAAGGAATGTTAAAGCCTTACTTTCATAGCTTGGGTTCAGTGGGGGTGCTGAGGCCTGGGGTCGGGTCGAGGGGTTCGGGGATGGGGGGCGAAGGCCCGTAGGGCTTCGTGAGTCCCCCTTCACGCTCCAATCGCTCGTGCTCGCTCGCGACCAGAGCTCGAAGCTCGTCCTGTAACATATATGTATATTTATAAAATTGAATCCGACAATCGAACCTGTTGTTTTTAAATAATAAATACATTTGTAGCTTATTCCCTCCACGACCGCGGACACGCCGGCGTGTCAGTTAACAATAAATTTCTTAGAATTTTAATTAATTTCTTAGAAATTTACCTGGAGGTGTTAAATAGATTAAAGTATAAAAAATATTGAAAAAAGAAAATCTAATTACTTTTAGATTCGGTGCCACACACACATACGCACAACATATATGTACATTGTACATATCATATCATTAAACAATCACATTAGACAATCATTTTCATTTATATACATAGCATCAATAAGATAAATCTGCATTAACGTAACACATTTTAGGACAGCAACAGACACACACCTACCCCAGTAACTATTAATATACTTTGTTTTGTATTGTTTTTCCGTTCTTCTTTATATATTCATTATGCATGTTGAGTTAGCCTGTCAGTGAGGTATACAATTTCTAGCATAGATACTTAAGAGTGTGTAGGTGACTTACATATTTAATATATTTAATCTATTGTATTTATATATTTAACTACACATTTTATAATATTAATATTTTATTTAATATTTAATTTACGTATAAACATCATATACACATTCACCTACATACATACAACACGTATATTTATTTATATTTATTAATCACATTTATTCATATATATTATAATTGACAAGCATAGCCGCGCGAAACCTGCAGTATTAATTTATTTGTCTTCTACCGGCCACTTTTTATGTTTTCATCATTCATATTGTAATATTACTTAGAACATTTAGTAGATGCCTTGCCAGCTGACACTAACCACTTGCTTTGTAGAATTCTATCGTTTGCGCTAATTAATGTATGTGGACTTCTTGTGTTGTGCTTGTATATTGTTACAACTTGTATGTTACTGTGTATATTCCTAAACTTTCTCCTTCTGTACATTATTACGTGAGTGTTAATTATTTCAATATAATAATTTATTAAGTGACGACAATAAGACTTTTATTCGTGTTCTCTCGTCACGACTCAAACCAACTAAACTGGTGACCCCTATAGTACACGCTGAAGAGGATGAGTAGTGGAAGTGACTCAGCAACATCGCACGTTACTACAAGACCGCGTGCCAAGATGGCGACGCCCTTGAAATGCGCTTGTCCACAACAGTTGCCGCCCCAGATCAGGACACAACCCTTTTGGCCAGAAAAACCTGCCATCTGGTTTGCGCAAATCGAAGGTCAGTTTAGATTGTATGGAATTACTGACGATGCCACCAAATTTTACCACGTTCTATCAACGTTGGACAGACAATATGCCACCGAAGTGGAAGACGTCATCACTGGCCCACCCGATTACAATCGCCTTAAATCAGAGCTGATAAAACGTTTGTCGGTATCGCGCGAGAACAAAGTGAAGCAATTGCTAATGCACGAACAGCTTGGAAATCGAAAGCCGTCGCAATTTCTGCGGCACCTGCAGCACCTGGCTGGACCTAACATACCAGCAGAATTTGTACAAACTATATGGACCAGCCGCTTACCAGTGGAAATTCAGCCCATCATTGCCTCACAGCCAACTCTGCCCTTGGACGCGTTGGCAGAGCTCGCCGATAGAATACAGGATATAGCAGCTCCAGCCCACCAGGTAGCCGCCACGTCATCACCAGGAATGGACTTATTATCACAACAAGTCGCAGAGCTAGCTAAACAAGTTAGTGCACTCACCGCCAAAGTCAACCGGAGGTCACGACCACACGATAGACCACACGGTCATAGACGTTACCGAAGCCGGTCTGGATCAAGACGGTCCGCTTCCAGTCACCGACGGTACCCAACTTGTTGGTGCCATAGTAAATTTGGTTCTAAGGCAAGAAGCTGCATCCAGCCCTGCGACTTCAAGTCGGGAAATGCCCCGAGCAATCAGTGATGGCGACCAATGATTGCAGGAGTTCTTCGGGTCGCCTCTCCATCACCGACCGCACTTCGAATATGCAGTTCCTGGTAGACACGGGCAGTGACCTATGTGTGTACCCTCATTCTGCGCTTCGTGAACGCCGTGCCAGGGCGGACTTCGAACTCACCGCAGCTAATGGTTCGGTAATTGAAACGTTTGGGTTTATAGAACTTAATCTAAATTTAGGCTTAAGGCGTAGTTTTTCTTGGAGATTTATAGTAGCTAATGTAACGAAACCGATAATAGGCGTTGACTTTCTTAGTTATTATAATTTAATTGTTGACTGTCGCAATCAGCGCCTACTAGATAATACTAATACATTGTCATCTAATGCTGTAATTGCTAATGCTGATGTATTTTCTGTTAAAATATTTACAGGCGACACGGTATTTCACGAAATACTAAGTAAGTACCCTGAAATTACTCGCCCATCAGGCACACCAGTTATACCAACACACAATACAGTACATCACATAAGGACTACACCTGGACCTCCTATATCATGTACTCCACGTAGACTAGCACCTGACAAACTTAAGATTGCAAAGCAAGAGTTTGAGCTTATGCTCAAAAATGGTACAGCCCGTCCTTCTGAGAGCCCCTGGTCTTCTCCTTTACACCTCGCGCCTAAGAAGGATAACAGCTGGCGACCTTGTGGTGATTATCGACTGCTTAATTCACGGACTATCCCAGACCGCTACCCTATTAGGCATATCCACGACTTCTCCCATTCAATTTCTGGTTGTACTGTCTTTTCTACTATTGATCTCATGATAGCCTATAATCAGATTCCAGTCCATGGGGATGACATCGCAAAAACCGCCATCACTACTCCCTTTGGCTTGTACGAGTTTCCATACATGACTTTCGGATTGAGAAACGCTGGTCAAACATTCCAGAGGTTCGTTGATGAGATGACGAGAGGACTCGACTTCTGCTATTGCTACCTTGATGATTTCCTCGTATTTTCCAAGGACGAAGCCGAACATAAAGCTCACCTTCATCAGCTCTTCGGCCGCATGAAGGAGTATAACGTCCTCGTCAACACCTCTAAATGTGTCTTCGGTGTATCAGAAGTAACATTTTTAGGTTACAGAATCTCAGCATCCGGCACCAAGCCTCTAGAGTCCAAGGTCCAGGCCATTACAGAGTACCCAGTGCCTAAGACAGTTAGGGAACTTAGGAGATTCTTAGGAATGCTCAACTTTTATAGGCGATTCCTACCCAACTCTGCCGCCATCCACGCACCTTTGAATGCCTTACTCACTGGCAACGTTAAGGCCTCACACCCAGTCACGATTTCAGGTGACACTATGTTGGCCTTCACCAGGTGCAAGGAAAGCCTCGCAAATGCTGCTTTACTGGCACACCCGGATTGTCAGGCCGACCTCGTTCTTGTCACAGATGCGTCCGACCTGGCGATGGGTGCTGTTTTACAGCAGTTTAAAAACGATGCTTGGGAGCCTCTGGCATTCTTCTCGCGTAAGCTAAGTCCCGCTCAGCAGAAGTACTCACCGTACGACCGCGAGCTCCTAGCCATATACGAGAGCATCAAATACTTTCGTCATATGCTTGAGGCTAGACATTTCGTGGTTTACACTGATCACAAGCCGCTCAGTTACGCTTTCAGTGAACGTAAGGCTAACTGTTCTCCTCGGCAGCACCGCCACCTCGATTACATATCTCAGTTCACAACCGACATTAAGCACATTGCAGGGAAGGACAATGTTGTCGCTGATCCACTGTCTCGCGTCGAGGAGCTGCAAATATCGATCGACTTAGAGGCGCTGGCTGCATCACAAACATCTGACACAGAGTTGGCTCAGCTTCTGCGAGAAGAATCTTCACTCCGCTTAAAGGAGTTGAGCATACCTAACTCTAGCGCAGAGCTTCATTGTGACGTCTGTACCCCCACTCCTAGACCTTTTGTCACGAAACATTTAAGGAAACAGCTCTTCGACAGTTTGCATGGTCTTAGCCATCCAGGCGCGAATGCAACAGCAAAATTAGTTGCCGATCGTTTTGTCTGGCCTGGAGTACGCAAAGACTGTCGAGAGTGGTCCCGCAAATGTTTGGCATGTCAACGTGCCAAGGTAAATCGCCATGTGTCATCTCCACTGGGCACTTTCAATTTACCGCGCACTCGATTCGCCTTTATTCACGTGGACATTATCGGCCCACTGCCTTATTCGCAAGGCTATCGCTACTGCCTCACGGCGATTGACCGTTTTACCCGCTGGCCAGAGGTTACCCCCATGGTGGACATGACAGCCGAAACAGTCGGGAAGGCTTTGATATCGTGGATATCCAGATTTGGATGTCCAACCGATATCGTTACAGATCGCGGTCGGCAGTTCCAATCTACACTTTTCCAGTACTTAGGAAAAATGGTTGGATTTTGGATTCAAACACCGCAGAACAACCGCGTACCACCCAGCCTGTAACGGGTTAGTTGAACGGTTTCACCGCCAACTGAAGGCAGCCATAATGTGCCACGCTGATAGCAATTGGGTGGACACACTACCTTTAGTGCTATTAGGTATTAGGAGCGCTTTCAAAGATGACCTTAAATCATCATCTTCTGAATTGGTGTATGGAGAGCCGCTCCGGTTGCCAGGAGAATTCTTTCAAGCCTCAGCCCCAGATTCGACCGATATATCGGACTTCACCACCCGCCTACACCAATTCGCAGCCAAACTCCAACCGACACCAGCTGCACGTCACAATAAAAATAAAATCTTTGTTTACAAAGATTTGGCTACATCTAGCCATGTATTCTTAAGGGACGACTCATTACGTGGTGCTTTACAACCACCTTACACTGGCCCTTATCAAGTTATCGAAAGAGGAGAAAAGACCTTCAAAATACAGGTCAAAGGGAATAGTGTTAGAGTATCCATAGACCGTCTTAAACCAGCCTATATACTCGCTAACCCAACTCCCGAAACCACCCCCACTCCCACAGCCAAATCCCATCCCGGTCCCATTTCTTATCCTGCTCCTACAGCGCAGAGTGTCCCACCTCAGGATGTCGTCAAACGAACTCGCTCAGGTCGAACAGTCCGATTCGCTGATTTTTATCGCCCGTGACGGTCTCTGGAGGGGAGTGATGTAGGTGACTTACATATTTAATATATTGTATTTATATATTTAACTACACATTTTATAATATTAATATTTTATTTAATATTTAATTTACGTATAAAAATCATATACACATTCACCTACATACATACAACACGTATATTTAATTATTTATATTTATTAATCACATTTATTCATATATATTATAATTGACAAGCATAGCCGCGCGAAACCTGCAGTATTAATTTATTTGTCTTCTACCGGCCACTTTTTATGTTTTCATCATTCATATTGTAATATTACTTAGAACATTTAGTAGATGCCTTGCCAGCTGACACTAACCACTTGCTTTGTAGAATTCTATCGTTTGCGCTAATTAATGTATGTGGACTTCTTGTGTTGTGCTTGTATATTGTTACAACTTGTATGTTACTGTGTATATTCCTAAACTTTCTCCTTCTGTACATTATTACGTGAGTGTTAATTATTTCAATATAATAATTTATTAAGTGACGACAATAAGACTTTTATTCGTGTTCTCTCGTCACGACTCAAACCAACTAAAAGTGTGCTCTAGAATAAAGAATAATATTATATACAACATACATTCTTATTTAAATAAATAAATATAGTATAAATAATGTCACACAAACTGACCCCCCAGCCGAGCCTGTCGGCGAGGTCGAGGCAGCCGTCGTCGCAGTCCCCGAGGCGCGCCACGTCGCGCACGGCGCCCTCGTCCAGCTGCAGGCCGCCGCCCGCCAGCCCCAGCAGGCGCAGCAGCGGCGCGCGCACGCCCGCGCGCTCGCGGTTGATCAGCAACCGGGGACACCACTCCGGCACCCTGACACGTTAATAATAATAAATATATGGGAGATAATATGTATTTTATTGAATCTTTTTACACTACCTTCATATTTTTATAGAAATGTCATTTGACAGCTATGTTACTCGTATCAGTGCCTCCCACTACGACATTCGGGTAGAAAATGAATACGTTTTGAAAAGAGAAAACATTATGGGAAAATTCCCGAATATGTCCATTAAAAGAAGTTTTAGGATCTCTTCCAGTATTAAGTCATGCCTAACAGCAAGCAATTGTCTATGCCAGTGAAAGTGGTAGAAAAATAGCTGTCCTATAAAAGAGAGGTCGACTTGCGCTCAGTGTGTGCATTAGTGTGCTTCAAAAAAAAAATTTTTTTTTTCTAACTCTTACCCTCTCAAATGTCTCCATTAGATATTAAAAAAATCTTCACCAAACATGAGCTCTATAGCTCAATTCTAAGAGGTCGCTATTTTTATTTTAGTTTCCCAATTACTTAACATGGGAAAAATTATTTTTTGTTTTAAATTCAATTTATACATAATTTACGCAATTTTTTACAAAAAACCATTTTATATTCTTAAAGTAGTCTTTGAAGTCTACATAAAAATACAATACTTACTAATATTTTGAGTAAAAATTTTGAGGATTATGCAAAAATAAATAAATAAATGCAAGCTATTTCTTCAAATTTCGTAATTTAGTAATTTTTAAATGGCTGTAACTAGTCTTTTTGTAGAGATAATCATACTTTGTCTTAGAGTTTTTTTTTGTTTTTTTTTTTTCAAAGTTAAAGTTTTAGAGTGTAAAACTCAAAGACTCTGATGTTGAAAGAATGGGTTGATGTCATGCGGGTGGCCGGTCGTAAAACTTTTGCCAAAATCGATCAGCAGTACGGAAGATGTACTGCGCCGACCCCAAGAAAGGGAAATGGGCAGGAGGATGATAATGATGATGTTGGGACATTAACACACAGCACCATGTAAGTATCCATGGTAAGCTACGAGGCCTGTGTTATGGATAGTCGATACCAGATAGTTTATATACTACACATATACAGGGTGGATTTTTGAGATGGGTCAGTAAGGGCAGGTACCTTAACTGTTACAGTAACAGGAAAACGTTCCTAGGAGACCATCCATAACTTTTTGAGATATAGATTTTCGAAAAAACGTACAGTTAGAGAAAAAAATGCTAAAATGCCAAAACATTTTTTTTTATCTCATCTATCCTATTTCATGTAGGGATCAAAATTCTCTATCGGGCTATTTAAGGTATAAGTATTAGAAATGACAGAAATCGTTAAAAACTTTTTCTTACATTTTGTATGGAATAACAATTAATCAAATCTAAATATTCTTTGTTGCGGTCCTATTTCTTAATGTGAGGCCAAATGGAGTTTGAATACAGAAACTACGGTAAGTCACAAAATCGGGTTTACACTCAGGCATTTTATTCAGCGTGTCATTTGTACTTAGTTATAAAACAAAATATGTACATGTCTTACATATCAATCAAAGATGCAAATGGCTGTACTTCAAGTGAAGAGCCCATAATGATCAGCATGTCACATTTTTGGAAGTCTTCTTGGAGGCAGTGCTGGAATCTTTCTGGTAGGCTTTCTCCAAAGAAGACGATATCAGGTTTGACAACACCAGGACATTCAGTACATATTGGAATTAGATCTGTGAATATTGCCTCTGCAATGCAAAAATAATAGTATTACTATAATACAATATATATTTAACATTAATTCTTATCATTAAACTTATCCATACTAATATTATAAATGTGAAAGTTTGTGAGTATGGATGTATGGACGTTTGTTACTCAATAACGCCAGAGTGGCTGAAGGGATCTGGCTGTGGCAAAGAGATAGATTATAGTCTGGAATAGCACATAGGTAGAAAAGAGTGCCATTCAAAATCGTCTAATGTACGATTTTTGCCTCTTCAGCTTGTGAAAATCGGCAGATTATTGAATTGCACTCTTTTCAGGATGTAATTGGCCATTGATCAGACCGAATGTGACGTCAAAGTCTATTATAATAAAGCGCTGTTGTTTGGTGTTTACGATTGGTATTCACAATCTAGACCTGTTCATTCGTTGATTGCAGTTGTCATAGACTATGACGTCACGCTAAGCGCGCAAAAATGGTGGACGTTTAGAGTATCCATATCTGTATGATATTTAAAAAAAAATTGAACTAAATTTTAGTTTTTAGAGTTGGATTTTTTTTTACAAATATATAACAATGTAAGTTATTATATAAAAAAAAATCACGCATATTCCCTATGACATAAGCTATTTTTATCCTCCATGGAATAGTACTAAAAATTGCCAAGGGAAGGACAAAAATAGGCCCATAATTGTAGATTTCATGACGTGCATGGTACAGCAAGCAGTGGTACCGCATTTGCTTCAGAAATTAAGTGAACCACATTCAAATTCCGGGTCTCACACCTCCAATGATCTCATGTGCAAATCATTTTCAAATCAATTACTACTTGCTTTATGGTAAAGGTAAACATTTTATAGAAATCTGCATGTGTAAGCAACCAAAAACCTAGCAAGTTTTCGAGACACATGTAAATCCTGAACTAGGCCAGCTTGGTGATCTGTGGCCTGACCCCACTTGCATTGAAAGTAGGCCCATGCCCAGCAGTCAGACATTAAAAAGGGCTGAATATACATTGTACAATAATTGCTTTACAGAAAAGTCCTATGACTAAAATAATGTACATATTGCTTCTGTAAACGCAACTCTAATTCACTAAAGAAAGAAAAAAACTCTAAAGGAAGCCAAAGCCTACAATATAATAAACTCAACCTACAATATCGTGACCTATAGCCATATAATTAATTGATAACATTTACCTTTAATGAATTCTAAAGGATATTGTTTGCGACAATCCAAGCAGTGGGAAGTAAAAAAAGTCCCATGAGCCTCAACTATTTTATCTTCAGGTATCCCTGCACCTCTCTCTAAAGTGTCAATATTTTGTGTGTAATGACGAAGTAAAATGCCTGTAAAGTACTAACAATAATCAAATTACTTTTAAAAAAATCATTCATGTGCGAGTCGAATTTGTACACGAAAGGTTCTTATCTTAGTTGTTCGTCATATGGTTTTGGTGGTAACCTTCGGGTATGAAACACTAATAAAAATATTATATGAGCAATATATTAACAGTAAGAAAATGTTTAACAAATCAAAATATTTAATCTTGTCACAGTGTTCTAAGCAAAGCAAAAAGGTTTAATCCCTTTAGAGCCAATTATTTTTTGGCTTTTGCAATATTCCATTATTATGGAGTATAATGAAATGCAGAAGTAATTAAATTATTAAATGCTTACCTTTTTCATGCAACAGTCTGATAAAATAATGAGATATGGTAGGTTTAAAACTACCCGGGAACAGTTCTTTTGCTAAAGTAAAGAATGGTTTTGGATTTTGTCTAAAAAAGTTAATTTCGAAAATGGCCTGTGGTTCTGGTAAATTATATTTTTGCAGATTGTGGTATAGACCTGTTTCAGGACTTCTAAAATCTGGGATTCCAGCAGCTATAAAACGAAATATGCTATATTAGAATAAAATATAGCATGCAAATATAACTATATAATATTACAGAATTCCATTTATTTATTATATAATAATATAAAAACTAATACTTATAAAATACATAAATACTTATTATTTATTAGGGAGAATCAAAATTTTTTTTTTCATTTTCATTTTCTTAGTTTCGAGGTAGAATACGTAAAAATTGAGTAAAAATAAATCTACAATTCTTAAATGTTTTGATGCAAAATAATCATGCGAAAAAAAATCATTCAAACCAAAAATTTCAATTAATTATTTATTTTAAAAATCAGTAGGCCACCTCAAAATGTTGTATAGAAAATATTTTTATTTCAAAAAAAAAGTTTTTTTTTAAAGGCTACAAATTCTCTACCCCCAAGCTAAGAAAAAAAACCATATTTTTTTTGCTCCACCCTATTATTTATTACCAATATTTTATGCAAATATACCTTTAATTTATATCATTAATTTTTGGCATTATTGGCATTATAACATTAAGACAAGTTTTAATTAATTGGTTGTCTGCTTCAGATTTAACAGGCTACATTTTAACCCAAAAGAATTTGTTTAACATACAAATAAAACTCCTTTAAAAGATTCTTTAGCTTTACCTGCCATTATAATAATATGCTGATAATATTACAGCTTGCTTGGTCCGGAGATTTTGTCTGGGGTTAATCAGTCCTGACTTATGATTCATAATAAATGGATAATATTTAAATAAATAATTATTTACTTACATGTGGATATTCCAGCTCCAGATAACGTTATAACATTTTGGCATCGTTCACTTTTAATCCATTTGACAATACCATCTAAATTAACTTCATCTAAAACTTTATCTGTCGGTGCGACAACTTCTGGTGGTTCGTAAAAGCCAAGTTTTTGCGCCAAATATCGTCTGATGGAATCTACATCGGTTAAGTCGCGAATTCTTGGACCTAGGTTTTCAATCGGATTTGGCGGGATTGAGCTATCGTGAGGATCATCACCTTAAATAAAAAAAAAAATTATGTTGTTTTTGGTCAATATAAATATATTTTAATAAAATATAGATAATTTACCGTCACTTTTTCCAGGAGGTGAGTTTGCGGACATTTTACTTGATAAACAGATATTGCGACTCGAAACCTTTGTCCAATTTTGCCACGGTCTTTTTGACAGATAAATCATGCGCATTCTCGGAAATAGTTGAACAACAATTTGCAAAGTACGCGTTTAATATGTTACATAACAATATATATTTAAATATATTATATATCATATTGACAACTATAAGGCAATGCTGTGTATAACATGATGTTATTTATTTATAACTTTTATATATGAATACAAAATACTACTCTATAATCATACAATATGTCTTTTGTCATAGCTCCGTAAATGCACAATACCGCCATAGATTAAACATAATAATATTATCTATAGTTCAGTAGCAAATAGTAATTTGTTATTACATTTTTAGTGTTTTAGATATTACCACTGGAATATGGAGGGTACAGGTGAGGAGGAATCAATTATATGGGAGATAAGTTGATGAAGTGTCCACTTGAATGTTGAAAACAGATGGCGCTGGCGTACGAAAAACTAACTTAGTATGAATTTAGATGTTGTAAAAGGAGTGTCTAATCTGGTCCTTCTTGATTTCTTTGTCAGATTATCTTGCTCTAGTTACTGGCTCCCCAAATCTGACCATCGTTTGATGGATTGTAGATAAATTTTTTTATTTTTTTAAAAAAAAATACTTTAATACCCCCCAATATTAAAAATTTTTTTATTAATTTTATTTTATAATTTACCCCCTCAAATTAATTAATATTTTAATTTCTTTTCAATGTAAATGAAATACTTTAATCAAGCTCTAATTTGACATTCTAGAAACACTTTCCAGTACCTCTACTTTGTTACGACTTATTTCAATTTTTAAATGAAAGTGACGGGCAATATGTACATATTTTAATTATAAATCCATTTTAATAAACTAATTAAAATTACATTTAAATCCACCTTCAATTATAATTACAAATTATTATTCATTTAAATTTATTTATTGTAATCCATCATAATCTTAATTATAATCTGCATCTTGATCTGAATTAATTTTAAATTTAAATTTTTAAATATTATTTTTATTTAAAAATATTTTTTTTACATTATTAAGGGTATTTCTTTTCTAATTTTTAAATTTTTATTTTCACGTATCGTTTAATCGTCGTTCTTGATTGTTCGCCATAAATAATTATTGTTCGTAAATTGTTTATTTATAAATAACTAAACAAAAATGCGCACTCAAAATAGTAATTGAGTTAAATGAAAAACATAAAAATAAGCACTTTGATGATAACACACGTATTTTATAAACGAACAAACAATTAATGAATATTTAAAGAGTACTATTATCAAGAAAATGTTTAAATTTCGATTGAGGAGGTTATTTTGAGGGTACATTTTTGATAAATTGTGAACAATCCGCAACAAACGACCAACAAGGGATACATGAAAATAAAAATTAAAAAAATCAGAAAGGAATCCTGGGGTTTGGTGAGCTCTTAAGTATTTTTGGCGCTTATTGGACGCGTTATCACGGGCACTTTTTCATACACAGAGATACTATTCGTTACTTCTACGCTCCATAATATACTGAAATTAATAGTAAATTATTTATGATTAACAAAATTTAATTTTGAGATATTGTTTATATATTTTAGTTATTATTATAAAAATTATACAAATTTAAAGTAAATCGCAATAAAAAGAAATATAAGAATTCGAAGATGCTGATTATGGAGAATCCCACTAATATACCACAAAATCCACCAACACTACCTGTAAGAGTAAAATATATTATGAATACGTAATATAAAATACCTAAACAATATATTATGTATGTAATATGTACATACATTCCCAATATATAATGGGGAATCTAGATAACAAGAAAACCGTTAACCCATCCATGTCGAAATAATTTTCAAAATGTTCATGGTGATCTGCTAAAATCATTTAAATTCTTTTTCAATAAGAATTAGTCCTCTATATATTAGATGGGACTTGTAATACTTTAATTAGAAGATTTGCTGATGTGTGAATTGATTTGGCAATGTATCGCTACGTCTTAAATTTATGTCTGATTTTATGCGAAATTGTGTGTTATACTCTTCAGTCTTTTGCATAATATGTAGAATACCTATATGGAAGGCACTAAGCTATTTTTGAAAGATCAATAAGTAAAAGTGTAGTAATTAAATGAGTTTATAACTGATGGTATACATATTTTATTTAACTATAAGTTCTTAAGAAAAAAATTATGAACTCTATCATTAATAGAGTACGAAAGCCGTGTAGTTAGAGCTTATTTATAGTGTTTCTGTGAAGTACTTACTCACAATCTCGAACCAGTAGAAAACAGTGTCGAGACGGTTCAATACACCATCAGTTGTCGCTTGGTAAATGCTGAGCATGCATTTACCAGTCATATTTAAGCCATCGCTACAAAATGTTATGTTTTGTTTATCCAAACACTTCAGAAGGATAAATTAAAATGGAATTACTATTATAATTGTAAAAGTTTGTATGTGTTTTCACGTTTAACAGCTGGAGGGATTTGAGTGATATTTCGTATACGGATATGACATGTTACTCCAGTAACAGATTGGCTATTGTTAAGCGCCTAGAGATGCACCCGAGCGAAGCAAGGGTAAGGCGCTAGTAAGTTATAAATATGAAAAAAAATGTAACAGACTGATTATTATAATTAACATGAAACTCTTACTAGTCTATCTATAGATAGATATAATAAAATTCTGAGTCGAAACTGTACATTAAACATCTATAGTTTTTAGAATTTTCGTCTGTCTGTCTGTCTGGGAACGCATTACGAGAATACCACTGGTCACAGATTTGGATAAAATTTGGTATTATGATAGCTGTTTATCCTGTTCAACATATAGAATACTTTTTACTGCGGTAAAATATCTCTGATAAATCTATACTAAACGTTAAAACGCATTTGGGGACAAACCCGGGGAGCGAGGGTAAGTCGCTAGTATTTAATATAAACCTTTCATTGGAGACAATTATCGCGTATGATTCTGGTTCTGATTAAAAAAATATTTTTATATAATAATACAAAGCTGAAATAAATACTTACAGAAAATTTGAAGTGAATTCTTTATTTTTATTAGAAACATATGAAAGTGGTATTTTAAAATGCTTAGTAAAGTGCTGAGTTAATTCACAGTCAGGGAAGCATTCACCGCAGTACAGAGCATCTTGGAGCTCGGATTCTAAGCCTTCTGTATTAACTGCATCTTTTGGGTATAAGTAAAATAGCTTTTCTAAAATGAAATAGGTTTTAATTAGTATTTTTATAACTGTCTTTTTTCTTATGGTTAAATCATTGAGAATGGAGAAGTTTCCTGATGTTGATAATAACATATTTAACACAATGGAATTATAATATCTGTCAAAATTAATAAAACACTGTTTTATTAATTTTGACAGATGACTGAGAAATTAATTTAAATTTCGGCCGTTCAGATCACGGTAATGTATGCATTACATTAGTCATTACCGTGGTTCAGATCGTGTGACATCACGAAATTATTCTTACAAGCGTAAACTTTTATATAAATTTTTCATTTGTCTAGATATTTGAATAATTCTTTCATGTTTTTGTTATATTTTGCTCAATTTTTTATAATTAATACAAATAATAATAATGGGAAACTTCTCTATTAACACATAAAAATACTACTACCTTTGTATTTGTTTAGGCACTTTAAGTCATCTAGAGTACATATAGGTCTACGACTAGACGAAGTAGGAAAGAAAAATGGTGTACATTTGCATAGAGATTCAACAGTTCGAGCGCGGCATTTAACAATACAAGTGCTGTATGAGTAGAGTTCATTAAATTCTTTCTCTATATCGTTATGGAAGAGACATTGTCTCTGAAAATAAATAGAGTAAGAACGTAAGTAAATAAATAAAATAATGTATATAAATTCTTATTTCTTGTTGTTGACTTCATGATATCTATAATCTTTTTTCTATTGATATCTTTTAATGTGATATTTAAATAAAAGATAGATTTCTTTACGAAATCAAGTTTATATTACACTAGCATTGCCCGCGGCTCAGCCCGCGTTCAAATGAGAAAAACCTAATTCTTACGTTTTACATATTAGTTTTTTACGTTATGCACTTACTTACGTTTATGCAGTTTTTGTTTTTTTTTTCTCAGAAATGAGATATTTTTCTTCGATAAAAAGTATCCTATGTGTTGACCCGGATAACCAGCTATCACCATACCAAATTTCATTAAAATCCCTCCAGTGGTTTTTCCGTGATGCGGTAACAGACAGATAGACAGACAAAAATTCTAAAAACGAAAGATTCGGCCTCTGTATCGATAATAAAGTCTATTTCAATAAAATTTTCCAAAAAATATTCAATGTACAGATTCGGCTTAGTTACGATTTTATTATATGTATAGATTAATATAGTATGTTAATTAAGTGCAAGATACAATAAATTATTAAATGATTTCTAAGGATAGAAATCATTACAGGATTCTTCAATATTTAAGATTTCTTATTGGTATTTTAGAAGGGCGCTTTAACGGTTAGTATGGAATAGATATACTATATATTATATGATATATAGCCAATAGCCTTCCTCAATAGACGGGCTATGTAATTCAAAAAGGATTTTCCAAATCGGATTAGTAGTTTGAGATTAGCGCATTTAAACAAACAAACTCTGCCTCTTTATAATAGGCATAAGGCTCGGGTCTGGCATAAGGCACTTCTGTCGAAGCTGCCATCATATGGACTTCCCGAGAGATTATGCCAATGGGTCGCTAGCTTTCTTTCTGGACGTAGCATAAAAGTTGTCATTGACGGTATATGCTCCGACACTGTTCAGGTCAACGCTGGCGTACCCCAAGGCTCAGTGCTATCACCTACACTGTTTATTCTGCATATCAACGATATGTTGTTAACTAACAACGCTCATTGCTATGCAGATGACAGTACAGTCGATGCCTATTATACTGGCCGAGCTAGCATCTCTCGGGCTAAAGTTGAGGAGAATAGAGTCCAACTTGTGTCTGAAATCGAGACTTCCCTAGAGCAGATCTCCGATTGGGGCCGACGAAATCTCGTCCAGTTTAACCCCTCAAAGACACAAGTTTGTGCGTTCTCCACGAAAAAAACCCCATTCATTATAGCGCCAAAGTTCCAGAACACTTCTCTTAACATCTGTAAGAGTATCGGGATCCTAGGGGTCGAAATATCGAGCGACGTCCAATTTAGATGTCATCTGGAAGAAAAAGCCAAATTGGCTTCCAAAAAAATGGGTGTCCTTAACAGAGCGAAACAGTATTTCACGTCAGGGCATCGACTTTTGCTTTATAAAGCACAGGTTCGCCCTCTCATGGAGTACTGTTCTCATCTCTGGGCCGGCGCCCCCCAATACCAGCTTCTTCCATTTAACTCTATCCAACGCCGGGCAGTTCGTATTGTCAACGATCCCGTACTCACAGACGACTTAGACACTCTAAGCCTTCGGAGAGATGTTGGCTCTCTGTGTGCTTTCTATCGTCTATACAATGGAGAGTGTTCTGATGAACTTTTTGACATGGTGCCACCGTCGCGCTTCTATCATCGCACCCCTCGCCGTCGGGTAGGATGTCATCCATACATTTTAGATGCTTGGCATTCTACAAATGTACGTGCGTCTCGATCTTTTTTACCCCGCACGTGCAAGATGTGGAATGATCTTCCTCCCGAGGTATTCCCTGAGCGCTATAATATGGGGCTCTTCAAGAGTAATGTCTATAGGTCCCTTAAAGGCCGGCAACGCATTCGCAACTCCTCTTGAGTTGCAGATGTCCATGAGCGACGATAGCCACTTACCATCAGGTGGATTGTCTGCTCGTTTGCCCCTTTTTTCTATAAATATATATATATATATATATATATATATATATATATATATTAGTATAGATTATTATAGTTATAGATTATAAAACAATATATAAATAACCAATTCTTTTTCTACGACACCTTAAGTTTTATTTAGGTACATTTATTTTTATACACAAATATCTTTTCGCATTGGTATAAACATTTAAATTTACTGTTGAATGATAAAAATGTTGCGTACTAGTTTGATTTCTATCGACAACCTGTTCATTGGATTTTATGTTATTAATTTTTAACATATTTGCAGTAGGCAAATTAGCTAAGCAAATGTAACAACACTAATTTGTTTCCTAGTAAACTTTGAGAAGTTATGGTTTCGTATACTAGTTTTTGTGTTAAAATTTTAGCGATACTTCTTTAGGATTATAATTAAACTTATAATGTACATACACATCTGTAATATATATGTACTTACTAAGAGATCTATAGATAGAGTGTAAGTATAGGACAGGAAATGAAGCTAAACGAAACTGTCCATGTGAGAAAGAGAATTTGTTAATGTAATAATTGTTTTTGATATTAAATTATAATTTAATAATACTAATACTATTTGTAATGTTTTTGTATTCAGGTAAAAATAGTTATAAAATGCATGTTAGTATAATTATTTTTCTTATTTTACCTTTTACCTAATAAGTACAGATTCTGCGAACAGGGGCAGCATGAATGATATTATGTAACAGGTAATTATAATACCATTTTAGATTTCATCGAAAACTTCTGCATGCCCCGTCTACTTTATTCTATACTATGAGCTATGCATACGATGTAAATGGCACTTTTAATGTTTTCTTTTCCTACAGGAGCTTTATATTATACTTATGGGTTCCTGTTACTTAGATTATAATCTAAAGCAATGAATTTTGGATTTAAAATTATGCGTATAAACCGTTTTCGGTGGATATTTGCGAACTTCTGTAGTAGCTATTTGCTTGATAGATTTAATTTCAAAGAACACTGCGTGGTCAGGTTGCGCAATGCGTTGTATAACTCGCCCGCCAGTCGGATCCGCGAAATGTGTAGGATCGAATATGAGCACCTGCAAAATATTATAACATATATTTGTCGTATGAAAATAGTCACTAGTGTAAAAAAATATGGCTTTATATATATGCTTTTATTCCAAAAATAGTTGGGATTTGAGTCCTTAGGTCTTTTATAGTCGATACTTTTTTAATGTTACGCCCACACTTTTCAGAAATAAACAGTACGGGCTGGTTTAATGAATTTTAAATTATACATTTAGTACTTAAAGTATTAAAAATATTTATATCCCGCATAAAAACAATTTCATTTGTTAAGTACATATACCTACATATATTTTTTTCAAAATTTACATTTGTTTCCCAAAGATTTAAATTTGTTTTCATATTATCTCTATCTATTTAGGTTATCTTACTCATATATGCAACTAACACATTTCAACTCTTATCATTCTTCATTCTCCTTTTTATTGGATGTAAGGAATTGAGGGTCTTATTATATGTTAATCTATTAACTTCATAAATATATTAAAACAAAACTTAATAATTAAAAATAGACTCATTTTTTGTAGGTAGGTATACCCACTAAAAATATACTCACTTCAAAGCCTATCATATTAAATAATCTGTAAGTATAATCGTCGACCATAGAGTCTAAAACCACGTTAAGACCATACAATTGTCCAGGTTCATGTTGTCTTTTAACTGTGTAAATAGTGCGGCCAGGTCTACTGAAATCATTACACAGAAGTCATATTTTGATAATCCTTAATTAATATTATATTGAATATATGCTTGTTAGTTTGGTCTTCTTCGATGTAGCCAATTTCATAGGCTACTTTTTAACTTATCGTAGGCAGTGGTAACGCGCTCGCTTGGGAAACTGAGTGAAGCAGGTTCAAGTCCCGGGTCTCATCCCTCTGATATTTTCATGTGCGAATTATTTTCAACATGATTACCACTTGTCTTACGGTAAAGGAAAACGTTAGGAAACCTACATATCTGAGAGAATCAAGCAAGTTTTTAAAAGAAGTTTGAAGTTGTTTTTTTTGTTTTTTTTGTATTTTTTTTTTGTTTTTTTTTGTTTTTTTATAAAACTACTATTTTTGCATGCGGTATTCACCTTAAAAGGTAATGCATTTAGCAATAAGAACTTTGTAAAATAGCATAATTTTTTACTGTAATAATGTAATTACCACTGGTGAATCTTAATAAATAAAAAAAAAAAGTCCACCAACCCGCACTTGGCTATAGTGGTGGACTATGGCCTGATCCTCCTCGTACTGAAGGGAATTTCAAGTTTTAGTGCTTAAAATATATATGTTTTAAGAGTACCTGCCAGTAGAGTCGTAACGTAGTATATGATTAAAGGCACAGCAATAACCACGCACTGTACGTTGGACTGAAAATATTTTATCACAGTCCACTATATCGCCTGACCAGGAACATCTAATTAACATCTCATCACAGGGTGGAGAGAGCTGAAAGATTGTGAATCTATTATTGGTATTCCATATTCGGCACTTTAAGATCGATCGGCATTTTTACATACATCTTGGAAACTTGGATTGGTCTCTCTCTTAAGTATTTCAAAATTAAAATTATTTAAAAGCTAAATATTTGTGTGTAGGTACAGCCATTTCAATAAAAAAATGGTGTAGTAATTAAGGCAGATTGTGTAAAATGTATAAATATTTTTTTTGGTTTCTTTATTGTTTTTATTATTAAAATAACATGAAATTTAAATTTGCTCAATTAGACTTTTACAAGCACTGTGGAATCGATATAATATAATCTATACATATACTAAAAGTGTAAGTGATCGCTGTCTGTACATGGAAGATATTTGAGAAAAAATATCATTGTTAATATATTAATATTAATATGTTGGGACATTAACACACCACCATCTAGTTCCATGGTAAGCTACGAGGCATGTGTTATGGATACCAGATAGTTGATACACTACATATATATAAATTTAAATACATACATATTATAAATATAAACACCCATGACTGGAGTAGAAACATTCGTGCTCATCACACAAATGAATGCCCCCAGCGGGACTCGAACCCGCGACCGCTGGCACAGCAAGCAGGGTTACTACAAACTGAGCCAAATGTGTCGTCAAATTGTGGGTCTTTATTTACTCATAGAACCCAAACCAACAATTTTTAGAGTTTTTGTCTGTTTGTCTGTGCGTTTGTTATAGCTCAGAAACAACTTAATCGATTTGGATGCGGTTTTCACTAATATATTTTGGTAAGCTTCACTTAACATAGTATATCTTTTATTTCAATCGGATCATAAATAAAAAAGTTACATCAATTTAAAGAATCACCTAGGGACGAACCCGAGCGAAGCGAGGCTGAGTCGCTACTTTAATTTAAAGATAGTCTGTGCAGTCTTTCTGTGAGGAAGCACTAGCTTGGAAAGCATTTCTGTTGAGAACCGCAATAAACTCTTGCTACTTAAAATATCAGTAACAGTATTTTAATTCATATGAGTCAATTTGTCTTCTTTCCACAATTTTTTATGTATAAAAAGATTGATCCGCTTTGTTTAGTAATACGTTTTTAATTTTAGCTTTCAAATTTTGTAAAGCCCAATCTAAGGCACTTATGGTTTTTTTATATGTGTATACTGTATGTGTGCTTGAAAGCCTACAAACTGGGTGTGACAGGCTTAAATTCCTGAATTGGAACGATTTCAACAGTTAGTTTAAAAATAACTTGAATATAGACGTAGGTAATTGTTTATTTTACATGAAATACCTACTCTAGAAGATTACATCAATACAATTTATTAGCCTCAAGCAAATCTTCGGAACAATATCTTAAAGGATTCCACTATTAATATCTAATTGGAACTGGTCGATATTTCTCGATTTCGCGATCTTGCCAATGACCCATTGTTAAACGTATCGTTATAACGTTTAAAAAGCCTAGGGCTATTACTTCGACGATTTAACCTTATTTATCCCTGTCTTGAGATTGCTGCAGCAAATATTTTTTATTAAATTCTTCTAATATAGAGTAAAAAATTGACGTTGAAGTATCTAATCCAATTTTGTAATAAAAAGCATAAAAGAAAAAGTGCTACCAAACGTAAAGTGTTCGTTTTTTATTGAATTGAAATGTAAAATTTAAATAGAGTTTCCGCTGCAACCAACTTTACCAGCCAACATTATATGATACTAGCAGAACCCGCAGCTTCGCTCGCGCTAAAACTACAAAAAAAAACTCTAAAAAGGTAGGTTTCATACAAACTTGCTTCCCCTATTTTACCCCCTTATGGGATGAATTTTGAAAAATTCTAAAACACGTATTTATTTAATTGTATTGAAGAGCATTGATACCAAGTTTCAAGAAATTCTGATCATAAATATTTTTTTGAGTTGTATTATAACGTGTTTTCCTGTGGGAATGAGATAATCTCCCTCGGTTAAAAGTAGCCTATGTCACTCTCCAGCATGCCAACTATCTCCACACAAAAAATAACGGCTATACGTCATTCCGTTTCGACGTGAAAAAAGGACAAACAAACAAACAAACAAACACATTCACATCCACATTTATAATATTAGTATGGATTTATATGATACGTATAACAATGCCTTATTATAATTATTGATTTGTTTTAATTTAATTGCGATATTGGCCAAAGAAGTTTTTTTATTAATTTATCATTCCTTTTACAATAATAGAGAGTTGTGAGATACGGAAGGAGTTTTTAGCTATTTTTGTTGTGTTACGCAAAAGAAGTATAATAGAGGAAGAGCCCGTGAACGCTAGACCTTCGTCATTTTATAAAGGCTGAAAGTTTGTCAGCGCATGCTCCCAAGTAACAGTATTTTAATTCATATGAGTCAATTTGTCTTCTTTCCACAATTTTTTATGTACAAAAAGATTGATCCGCTTTGTTTAGTAATACGTTTTTAATTTTAGCTTTCAAATTTTGTAAAGCCCAATCTAAGGCACTTATGGTTTTTTTATATGTGTATACTGTATGTGTGCTTGAAAGCCTACAAACTGGGTGTGACAGGCTTAAATTCCTGAATTGGAACGATTTCAACAGTTAGTTTAAAAATAACTTGAATATAGACGTAGGTAATTGTTTATTTTACATGAAATACCTACTCTAGAAGATTACATCAATACAATTTATTAGCCTCAAGCAAATCTTCGGAACAATATCTTAAAGGATTCCACTATTAATATCTAATTGGAACTGGTCGATATTTCTCGATTTCGCGATCTTGCCAATGACCCATTGTTAAACGTATCGTTATAACGTTTAAAAAGCCTAGGGCTATTACTTCGACGATTTAACCTTATTTATCCCTGTCTTGAGATTGCTGCAGCAAATATTTTTTATTAAATTCTTCTAATATAGAGTAAAAAATTGACGTTGAAGTATCTAATCCAATTTTGTAATAAAAAGCATAAAAGAAAAAGTGCTACCAAACGTAAAGTGTTCGTTTTTTATTGAATTGAAATGTAAAATTTAAATAGAGTTTCCGCTGCAACCAACTTTACCAGCCAACATTATATGATACTAGCAGAACCCGCAGCTTCGCTCGCGCTAAAACTACAAAAAAAAACTCTAAAAAGGTAGGTTTCATACAAACTTGCTTCCCCTATTTTACCCCCTTATGGGATGAATTTTGAAAAATTCTAAAACACGTATTTATTTAATTGTATTGAAGAGCATTGATACCAAGTTTCAAGAAATTCTGATCATAAATATTTTTTTGAGTTGTATTATAACGTGTTTTCCTGTGGGAATGAGATAATCTCCCTCGGTTAAAAGTAGCCTATGTCACTCTCCAGCATGCCAACTATCTCCACACAAAAAATAACGGCTATACGTCATTCCGTTTCGACGTGAAAAAAGGACAAACAAACAAACAAACAAACACATTCACATCCACATTTATAATATTAGTATGGATTTATATGATACGTATAACAATGCCTTATTATAATTATTGATTTGTTTTAATTTAATTGCGATATTGGCCAAAGAAGTTTTTTTATTAATTTATCATTCCTTTTACAATAATAGAGAGTTGTGAGATACGGAAGGAGTTTTTAGCTATTTTTGTTGTGTTACGCAAAAGAAGTATAATAGAGGAAGAGCCCGTGAACGCTAGACCTTCGTCATTTTATAAAGGCTGAAAGTTTGTCAGCGCATGCTCCCAACACAGATAAGAACGATGGACCATTATGAAGTTCAGGCTATGGTGGCTTTGGCAGGTACACGGTACTAAAGGTGTGTAAAATACCGATCTAAATTCGTCAAATAATAAAGTGTGATTTTTTGGTATTACCTTCAGAATATTATTAAAAATCACGTCATTCAATGCTAGACACTTAACATCGTGGCAAACCCTTGCCAGACACCCTTTTCATAAAATGATAATTCTACTTACGTTATAGTATAAAAGCTGATTTTTATATATAATACTTGGGTAATAATTAGATGATTTATAAGACTGCTAGCATAGCATTTATTACACACCATGAAAAATGTTCCAAACAAGTTGGGAGGCATTTCTAAGAAAATGTTGCAAATGATCACCAAATTTGAAGCGCTAAGAATTGATTTTATTTGTGTATTAAGCTCGATAAGATAGTATAGTTATTTAACTATCCCACGGGAACTCTTTAATTTTCTGGCATGAAAATTATCTAAGATGTTGCCCGGGGATATAAGGTACCACCATGAAAAATTTCATTTAAATCGGTCCAACAGTTTCGGAAAGTAGCCCGTACAAACAGATAAACAGGCAGAGAAACAAAAAAATTGAAAAAGATCTGGATTTGTTCTATTGTTCTTCTTACGGGATGTAAGAAGATAAGTAACTACTAACTGACTCGGTTTTTAGCAAACGAAAATATCTATCCCACGGGAAACGTACATTTTTCCGGGATAAAAAGTAACCTATTTGTTATTCTGATGTATGACCTATATTATTGTAAAGTTTCATCAAAATCCAATCAGTAGTTTTTGTGTACTAAGCTGTATAAGTTACTATAGTTTTTTGACTGTCCCACGGGAACCCTTTAATTTTCCGGGATGAAAAGTATCTAAGATGTTGCCCGGGGACATAAGGTACCACCATGCAAAATTTCATTTAAATCGGTCCAATAGATTTGGAGATTAGCCCGTACAAACAGACAAACAGGCAAACAGACAGAGAAACAAAAAAATTGAAAAAAATCTGGATTTGTTCTATTTGTCTTCTTACATCCCCCTGACTCGGTTTTTAGCATTTTTTTGCTATGTACAGACATTCGACCTCTACTGTTTTATTATAGTATAGATTAAACATCTACTTACCTTTTTCATTAATTTTATTATGTTATAGCTATCACCAATATGTTTTGCGAAAGAAAACAATAATGGATTTATATGCATAGTCTTGTTATATGAAAAATCTAAAAGTCTAACA